ATGTTTTGGCACATTTCAGGGCATTTATGAAAAAGGATGGGATTTGAAGAGGTATTACATAATAATATAACATGAACAATAATATAACATCACTACCCGTTCAACCAGACGCAAAGAAGTGGAGGTTGAGCTCAATAGTAGACGAAGGGGTTGTCAAATTCGCCTTTTGATTGTAGCATCAGAAATTGTTTTACTTTGTTTTTAAAATGATATTTATTTTTAGAATTTTTAATATTTTCTGGAAGGGAATTCCAATCTTTTGCGGCCAAAGTAGAAAAGGAAGAACTTTCTATGCTTTTAACGTTTTTTTATTGAGAAGTTCATCGTTCCAGATCTAGTACCACAACAGTTTTTGTTTAGAGAGAAAAGTTCATATAAATATTGTGGACATTTACCATTATAGATGTTAAAAGTATGGTTGAGGCGAAGTTGACGGACCCTTCGTTCTACGTTAAGCATGCCTAGTTTTTCTAATTCAGTGACAGTGATCCTTGTTCTGTTATCAAGGTTAAGAATAAAGCGGACCATTTTGTTTTGGGTAATCTGGAGTATACCTTTGAGTTTCTTAGTAATTCCTTCATACCAGGAGGTGCACGCATAATCAAAGTGGCACTGAATCAGAGCAGAACATAAAGTTTTACGAGATTTTAGAGATAGACATTTACTATTTCTGTACAAAAATTTAAGTCTTTGGTTGATTTTGTGGATAATGTTGGAGACAATTTCCTCTCCAGATAGAAATTTATCAAACGTAACACCGAGGTATTTTACTGAAGATTGCGAAACAATGTTTTGACCGTTACATGAAATTTTGAAATCATCTGCGGGTCCTTGTCCTAATTTTCTCTTTGGTCCAAATAAAATACTTTCTGTTTTACCTAAATGTAATGATAGTTTGTTGTCAACAAGCCAATCATGACATGATTCCAAAACTAAGGATAATTTTGAAGAGATTGTTTTGGGACAGTGATGTGAAAAAATAATTGCACTGTCATCAGCATACAGAAGTAGTTTACAGGAAATGTCTATACTTATCCGCATGTCATTTACATAAATCAGAAATAAAAGAGGGCCCAGTAAGCTACCCTGGGGGACCCCACAATGGACTCACTAATTGGGATCAATTTTCTAAGTATGATTTAAACCAGTTGCAGGACTCGACACCGATGATTTTCAATTTCTCACATAGGATCGAATTGTTCACCGTGTCAAACGCTTTTTGTAAATCAAGTAGGACCATGCCTGTATAAAGACCTTTGGCTGTTTGAGATTTGATTTGATCAATTAAATAAATTAAACAAGAATCAGTAGAGTATGACTTCCTAAAGCCAGATTGGAGTTCATACAATAAATTATTTTTAGCAAGAAAAGTTTCTAATTGGTTGTAAACGGCTTTTTCCAAAATTTTAGACACGATGCTTAAAATGCTGACAGGACGGTAATTTTCCACCTGCAGTCTATCTTTCTTTTTGAATAAAGGAATGACTTTCACAGTTTTTAGATCGTCCGGAACTACGCCTTCAGATATTGAAAGGTTAATTAAAAATGTGACTGGAATTTTGATCATCGGTGCAGCGTCCCTCAGGAATCTAGCAGGAATTTGGTCGAGGCCTGTACTTTTACATACATTTAGGTCACATAGCTCTTTATAAACAAAATCTTCTGAAACATGGCGAAGATGAAATTCCTTTACATAAAGGTAATTTATCTACAAGTTTTGAAGCAATAGTTGTGAAAAATTTGTTGAAATGGTTGGCTATGGTAATAACATTATGGCAGTTTTCACCATCAATATGTAAAACTGTTTTAGGATTTGATTTCCTGCCTCTTTCATAGCCCAAGCCCTTAAATTGTTTCCAAAGATTTTTTGAATTTCCTTTGTTTTCTTCAATTTTGCTTTCGAAATAGTTGTTTTTGGCTTTTTTTATGAGTTTTTGTATACGATTTCTTAACTGACAAAATTGACTGTAAAATTCTGGATTATTAGACTTTTTAAATAAATTTAGTTTTTTGTCCCTTTCAGAAATGAGGTCTAAAATATCGGCTGTAATCCATGGTTCAGTTCGCTGTTTTAGTCGAACTTCCTTTTTAGGAGCGACGTGGTCTAAAGCCTCCGTAAAAAGGTTTTTAAAAAATTCCCAGGCATGGTTTATGTTACGGGCAAGAAAACATTTTTCCCAATTAGCCTCGGCCAATTTACTAATAAATGAGTCTTTGCAATAGTTCTTAGTTGACCGGATAGTGATATTGTTATGTTTGTTATAAACACTTTTTGTAATTTTGCGAGTGCAAAAGACAGGAAAATGGTCAATAAAACCTATATGTAAAACACCAGACTGACTTATCTTTTCCTTGGAGTTACACAAAATATGATCTATAAGTGATGATGAAGTATCAGTGACCCTAGTTGGGTTTGAGACAATTTGTTCAAAGTTCAAAAATTTTAAAAGACTACAATACGTAGAATATAATGGGTTGTTTTTATTTTTTAAACAGATGTTAAAATCACCCAGAATGATAATTTCTCCTTCCAAGTTTAGATTGTGTAAAGTGTCTCCAAAGTTATCACAAAAGTTATTTTGGTTAGGTGGTCTGTAACATGTACCCACAGTGATAGGTTTAGTTTTTGGTAGGAGAATGTTTATAAAAAGGAACTCGTCATTCTCATTTGTCACGTCCAATGGGGTGAAGGATAAATCCTCTCTGACGCAGGTGCATACGCCACCGCCTGAACGGTTTCTGTCTTTACGTAGAACAGCATATCCGTCTATGTGTATTTCAGAGTCGGTAATGGAACCATCAAGCCAGGACTCGGTGACAGATAAGACAGCAGCATTAGTTTTGCTAGCAATGTTACAGAGTTCATGAGTTTTATAATAAAGAGATCTAGCATTGAGATGGATACAACACATCCTCTAATTACAGAGAATTTTTCACCTCTTAACTGGCACCAATTTGTGAACGCATAAGTCTTAAATACTTTTGGTTGTAACAGAACAAAATAGCATTTTCTCAATCATAGGTTAAGCTATATTTGCAAACATTTTTTTTTCAAAATATGTTGTTAACACTAATAATTATAGATACATTTTACTTTTTCCACAAATTGATAAACTTTATCAATAATAAATCATATCATTGATAACGATGAAACATTTTGTCAGAAAAACACAGGTGACTGAGCGCATTTCTTAAAATAGTTTTATTTACCTGTAGGTGACTCTGGGTGTTCCAGTAGATTATGCTACAGTGTATGATAAACAAATGTGGTTTTGTAAACATATGTCTTGGTAACTTTATTATAAACATGCCATTTTGTCTGGATATATTTACAACACTCTATGATGAACCTGTACACTAATTTTCCTGAGTTCAGAGGATAAATTTTCCCCAGTAATGAAGTGTAAAAAAATCAAAACTCTTTTCATAAAATCTCATTTGGATTGAAAACTCATTTAAACTCCTATGTATATAATTATTGATAAATACTAGATACAAGATTCTGCTCGGCTAGAGAATTTCTCTCTAGCTGAGTGGTATATTGTGGCTGGTATTTACCAGGGTTACAGAGCTGCAGAGAAGTTCTCTCTAACTGAGCGGTATATTGTGGCTAGTATTTACCAGGGTTACAGAGCTAAAGAGAAGTTCTCTCTAACTGAGTGGTATATTGTGGCTAGTATTTACCATGGTTACAGAACTAAAGAGAAGTTCTCTCTAGCCGAGTGGTATATTGTGGCTAGTATTTACCATGGTTACAGAGCTAAAGAGAAGTTCTCTCTAGCCGAGTGGTATATTGTGGCTAGTATTTACCATGGTTACAGAGCTACAGAGTTCTCTCTAGCCGAGTGGTATATTGTGGCTAGTATTTACCAGGCTTACAGAGCTAAAGAGAAGTGCTCTCTAACTGAGTGGTATATTGTGGCTAGTATTTACCAGGGTTACAGAGCTGCAGAGAAGTTCTCTCTAACTGAGTGGTATATTGTGGCTAGTATTTACCATGGTTACAGAGCTAAAGAGAAGTTCTCTCTAGCCGAGTGGTATATTGTGGCTAGTATTTACCAGGCTTACAGAGCTGCAGAGAAGTTCTCTCTAACTGAGCGGTATATTGTGGCTAGTATTTACCATGGTTACAGAGCTAAAGAGAAGTTCTCTCTAACTGAGTGGTATATTGTGGCTAGTATTTACCATGGTTACAGAGCTAAAGAGAAGTTCTCTCTAGCCGAGTGGTATATTGTGGCTAGTATTTACCATGGTTGCAGAGCTAAAGAGAAGTTCTCTCTAGCAGAGTGGTATATTGTGGCTAGTATTTACCAGGGTTACAGAGCTGCAGAGAAGTTCTCTCTAACTGAGCGGTATATTGTGGCTAGTATTTACCATGGTTACAGAGCTGCAGAGAAGTTCTCTCTAACTGAGTGGTATATTGTGGCTAGTATTTACCAGGGTTACAGAGCTGCAGAGAAGTTCTCTCTAACTGAGCGGTATATTGTGGCTAGTATTTACCATGGTTACAGAGCTGCAGAGAAGTTCTCTCTAACTGAGTGGTATATTGTGGCTAGTATTTACCATGGTTACAGAGCTAAAGACAAGTTCTCTCTTGTAGAGCTGTATATTTACCAGGTTTACAATATTTTGATATGGATCTAAATTGAGTTACATGGTTGTACTGAGCAATAGTTTTAAAAACAGTTGAACAGATTATAGAAAGGTTAGATATTCTTAATTACATGATAATGAAACTGTTGATGGTTTGGAGCTGTCACCATGGCAACAGAAAGTCATGTTTGATCCCCCTATTTAAATGTGAAAAGGTATTTATTTACCTGTTAGACCATGTTGATTTTCTCAAGACGCTGTAAATCTGTCGCTTTGTTTGCCAGCTGTTGTAAAACAGCTTTGAGTTTTTAGAGTCACAAACAAATTAAGATAAAGATATTTTTCAGTAGGTGGCACCATATTGTGACTGGGACTCGATAGTGTGGATTAACTATCATGTAAGAGGAATGGTGATTGAACAGGGGGTGGTTGGGCCCCAAGGGAGGCAACCCCAGATGGAGGTGAACAACAAGAAGCAGAATGAGACGGTAAACAGAAAGTGTGTTCAAGGGGTCATCTTAAATCTTCAGAGGTCATACGATGTGGAAATTGTGCAAGCCTCACTTTTGGAACTACAGGTTTTGGCCAAGAAGAGTGAGTGAAAACCTTTAGTGAAGATTATCAAGAATAATTATAGAATAATTAATCTGTTTATCAGGGTCATTTTAGTGTAATGGTGGTTTGACATGTACTTAGCTACATTTTATTAATGAAATGGACTAAAAAGTCACTGTAATGTGGACAAACTTTAAATGATAATGATGGTAACTGTAATACACAGCATTATAAAGCACACCGATTTATTTTACAACATTAGTCTAATGTGCTACACTGATTGCATCAATAGTAACTTCTGATTACATACAATGTAGTGATTGAAGGCATCTGACTATCACTAGCCCTCACCCCCTGGGTCATGGGGTCAATATCTATGTGGGGCAGTCATAATGTACTGGCTGTTGGCTAGTGATTTTTCTGCGGGAACTCTGGTTTTCCACCACAAACAAAACCTGGAATGTCCTTTAATGGCCCTTGCTGTTAATAGGACAACAATATAACTACATATAAATACACTTATGTAGAACTGTACACTACACATTAAACATATTAGAGATTAATTGTGTTGAGTACATATGTAGGTGACATACAATGTATGTACAGCATGTCTACTTGAAGGTCTAACAAGCAGTAAAATACAGGTGATATTTAACTTTGACTTTGGTAAAAAATAACCTTGGTTACAGGATATAAAGTTATCAGTGGTGATTGGTTTACAGATGAAGGTCATCGTTACCTTGACAACAAAGAAGTCCACCAGTCCATAATGACTGCTATATCACACCTTGGCTTTAACAAGGACATACAGAAGGTAAATTGAGATGTGTGTTAATAGGCCAAAAATTGTCTGAAAAAAAACATCCTTACATCTGTTGTAGTTTTGCTGAAATTCTAAAACTTTGGGATATTTATGAGATTTAAGTGACCATTTGTTGTAGGAAACATTTCAAAATGTTCATTGGTATATGATGGTATTTTTATTTAATGATGTCTGTTGGGATATCTTTACTTAACGATGTCTGTTGGGATATCTTTACTTAACGATGTCTGTTGGGATATCTTTACTTAACGATGTCTGTTGGGATATCTTTACTTAACGATGTCTGTTGGGATGTCTTTACTTAACGATGTCTGTTGGAATATCTTTACTTAACAATGTCTGTTGGGATATCTTTACTTAACAATGTCTGTTGGGATATCTTTACTTAACGATGTCTGTTGGGATATCTTTACTTAACGATGTCTGTTGGGATATCTTTACTTAACGATGTCTGTTGGGATATCTTTACTTAACGATGTCTGTTGGGATGTCTTTACTTAACGATGTCTGTTGGGATGTCTGTTGGGATATCTTTACTTAACGATGTCTGTTGGGATATCTTTACTTAACGATGTCTGTTGGGATATCTTTACTTAACGATGTCTGTTGGGATGTCTGTTGGGATATCTTTACTTAACGATGTCTGTTGGGATATCTTTACTTAACGATGTCTGTTGGGATATCTTTACTTAACGATGTCTGTTGGGATATCTTTACTTAACGATGTCTGTTGGGATATCTTTACTTAACAATGTCTGTTGGGATGTCTGTTGGGATATCTTTACTTAACGATGTCTGTTGGGATATCTTTACTTAACGATGTCTGTTGGGATATCTTTACTTAACGATGTCTGTTGGGATATCTTTACTTAACGATGTCTGTTGGGATATCTTTACTTAACGATGTCTGTTGGAATATCTTTACTTAACGATGTCTGTTGGGATGTCTGTTGGGATATCTTTATTTAACGATGTCTGTTGGGATGTCTGTTGGGATATCTTTACTTAACGATGTCTGTTGGAATATCTTTACTTAACGATGTCTGTTGGGATGTCTGTTGGGATATCTTTACTTAACGATGTCTGTTGGAATATCTTTACTTAACGATGTCTGTTGGGATATCTTTACTTAACGATGTCTGTTGGGATATCTCTACTTAACGATGTCTGTTGGGACTTAACGATGTCTGTTGGGATATCTTTACTTAACGATGTCTGTTGGGATGTCTTTACTTAACGATGTCTGTTGGGATGTCTGTTGGGATATCTTTACTTAACGATGTCTGTTGGGATGTCTGTTGGGATATCTTTACTTAACGATGTCTGTTGGAATATCTTTACTTAACGATGTCTGTTGGGATATCTTTACTTAACGATGTCTGTTGGGATATCTTTACTTAACGATGTCTGTTGGGATATCTTTACTTAACGATGTCTGTTGGGATGTCTTTACTTAACAATGTCTGTTGGGACTGTTGGGACGATGTCTGTTGGGATATCTTTACTTAACGATGTCTGTTGGGATGTCTGTTGGTCTGTTGGGATATCTTTACTTAACGATGTCTGTTGGGATATCTTTACTTAACGATGTCTGTTGGGATATCTTTACTTAACGATGTCTGTTGGGATATCTTTACTTAACGATGTCTGTTGGGATGTCTGTTGGAATATCTTTACTTAACGATGTCTGTTGGGATATCTTTACTTAACGATGTCTGTTGGGATATCTTTACTTAACGATGTCTGTTGGGATATCTTTACTTAACAATGTCTGTTGGGATATCTTTACTTAACAATGTCTGTTGGGATATCTTTACTTAACAATGTCTGTTGGGATGTCTGTTGGGATGTCTTTACTTAACGATGTCTGTTGGGATGTCTGTTGGAATATCTTTACTTAACGATGTCTGTTGGGATATCTTTACTTAACAATGTCTGTTGGGATATCTTTACTTAACGATGTCTGTTGGGATATCTTTACTTAACAATGTCTGTTGGGATATCTTTACTTAACAATGTCTGTTGGGATGTCTGTTGGGATATCTTTACTTAACGATGTCTGTTGGGATATCTTTACTTAACGATGTCTGTTGGGATGTCTGTTGGGATATCTTTACTTAACGATGTCTGTTGGAATATCTTTACTTAACGATGTCTGTTGGGATGTCTTTACTTAACAATGTCTGTTGGGATGTCTGTTGGAATATCTTTACTTAACGATGTCTGTTGGGATATCTTTACTTAACGATGTCTGTTGGGATATCTTTACTTAACAATGTCTGTTGGGATGTCTGTTGGGATATCTTTACTTAACGATGTCTGTTGGGATATCTTTACTTAACGATGTCTGTTGGGATAACAAAACTTAACGATGTCTGATGGGATATCATTACTTAACGATGTCTGTTGGGATATCTTTACTTAACGATGTCTGTTGGGATGTCTGTTTGGACTTAACGATGTCTGTTGGGATATCTTTACTTAATGTCTGTTGGGATATCTTTACTTAACGATGTCTGTTGGGATGTCTTTACTTAACGATGTCTGTTGGGATGTCTGTTGGGATGTCTGTTGGGATGTCTTTACTTAACGATGTCTGTTGGGATATCTTTACTTAACGATGTCTGTTGGGATGTCTTTACTTAACAATGTCTGTTGGGATATCTTTACTTAACGATGTCTGTTGGGATGTCTGTTGGGATGTCTGTTGGGATGTCTGTTGGGATGTCTTTACTTAACGATGTCTGTTGGGATGTCTGTTGGGATCTTTACTTAACGATGTCTGTTGGGATATCTTTACTTAACGATGTCTGTTGGGATGTCTTTACTTAACAATGTCTGTTGGGATATCTTTACTTAACGATGTCTGTTGGGATGTCTTTACTTAACGATGTCTGTTGGGATGTCTTTACTTAACGATGTCTGTTGGGATGTCTTTACTTAACGATGTCTGTTGGGATGTCTTTACTTTGTTTTTGAAATCTCTTTATTTAACAATAACCAGTGATATCTCCAATTTTTAACAATGTTCATCTTGTTTTCAGTTTGGTTGCGAAGTTCTAGCGGACTTGGTGGAGAGAATTACAGATCTCAGTAGAACATTCTCCCAGTCCAGCACACTAGGGTAGGTGTATGTGTGTAAGTCAGTGAAATTGGATGAAGATGCTAGGGGGAAAAATCTGCAGGTTAGCTTAATATCTACAGAAAGATAAAGTAAAAAAACCAAATACAAAAATGTTATTGCTAGCTACAGAAAGAGAGAGAGAGACAGAGACAGACAGACAGAGAGATAGACAGACAGACAGAGAGATAGACAGACAGATAGAGAGGGAAACAGATTCAGAGAAAGAGACAGACAAACAGACAGAGAGAGATAGACAGTCAGGGAGAGACAGAGAGAGAGGGAGACAGACAGAGATAGAGAGAGGGAGACAGACAGAAAGACAGACAGACAGACAGAGATAGAGAAAGGGAGACAGAGAGAGAGACAAACAGAGAGAGAGAGAGACAGAGAGACAGACAAGGAGAGACAAAGAGAGAGGGAGACAGACAGAGAGAGGGAGACAGACAGACAGACAGACAGACATTGGCAGAGATTTGTTTATCACATAACACAAATTAACTTCAGCAAAAACGAGAAAAATATGTCTGAAATTATTTTTTCAAAGGAAAGAAAAACATCCTTTATTTTATAAACTTGTTTGATGACCTAGACTCACCAGATGTGCAGTGCCATTATGTGTATCTCACAATGTACTTTAAGCATACTTAATATGGCACTATTAAATTTTGGTGCATCATTTTTTTGACAAAATAGCACATTGATAAATTTGCTTATCCGCTTTGATTTTTTTAAAGTAACATAATGCAACAAATGCAATTGTAACAATCTTATTTTAGTGCAATACATACAACATGAAAAGCACTGAATTAGATTATCACTAAAATATGCATGTTTGCAGTATATGACTGAATGGATGTGGCACATACTGGCAAAATCATTAAATATGTTTCCTTCAGGTACATATTGTTTCTAGTTAAATAAAAATGTCTCTTTCAGACAATTGCTGGAGATATTACATGAAAATTCCTTTGCTGACTCAGAATTACATCTGAGTGTTTTGAGGATATTTGCCAAATTACTGGTGGAAGGTATGTACATAATTAAGGAAACATAAAAATCTGTTTCTACATTTGTCCAGCTTTACGTTCTGTAACAACATCACGACAATAGATACAGATGGCCTTATGATTTGATGATCATTAACAGTTTTTGACACAATATTGGTAGAAAAAGAAACTAGTTTCCAGTTATAAAATGTGGGACATTCTAAAAGGGGGATCAATAGAATTTGAAACAAAAGTTATACTAAAAAACGGAACAGAGAAATATTATGTGTAATTATTTATTGGCCAAAAAATAACCCACTGACTGGTGAAAAAATAACCCACTGACTGGTGACATAAGTAACCCACTGACTGGTGACATAAGTAACCCACTGGATGGTGACAATAAATAACCCACTGGCCATGACATGAATAACCCACTGACTGGTGACAATGAATAACCCACTGACTGGTGACAGTAAATAACCCACTGACTGGTGACAATAAATAACCCACTGACTGGTGACATAAATAACCCACTGACTGGTGACAATAAATAACCCACTGACTGGTGACAATAAATAACCCACCTGCTGGTACATAAATAACCCACTGACTGGTGACAATAAATAACCCACTGGCTGGTGACAATAAATAACCCACTGACTGGTGACAGTAAATAACCCACTGACTGGTGACAATAACTAATCCACTGACTGGTGACATAAATAACCCACTGACTGGTGACATAAATAACCCACTGACTGGTGACAATAAATAACCCACTAACTGGTGACATAAATAACCCACTGGCTGGTGACATTAAATAAACCACTCACTGGTGTCAATAAATAACCCACTGACTGGTGACAATAAATAATCCACTGACTGGTGACAATAAATAACCCACTGACTGATGACAATAAATAACCCACTGACTGGTGACAATAAATAACCCACTTGCTGGGACATAAATAACCCACTGACTGGTGACAATAAATAACCCACTGACTGTGACATAGATAACCCACTGACTGGTGACAATGAATAACCCACTGACTGGTGACAGTAAATAACCCACTGACTGGTGACAATAAATAACCCACTGGCTGGTGGCAATAGATAACCCACTGACTGGTGACAATAAATAACCCACTGACTGGTGACAGTAAATAACCCACTGACTGGTGACAATAAATAACACACTGACTGGTGACAATAACTAATCCACTGACAGGTGACATAAATAACCCACTGACTGGTGACAATAAATAACCCACTGACTGGTGACAATAAATAACCCACTGGCTGGTGACATAAATAACCCACTGACTGGTGACAATAACTAACCCACTGACTGGTGACAATAAATAACCCACTGACTGGTGACAATAAATAACCAACTGACTGGTGACAATAAATAACCAACTGACTGGTGACAATAAATAACCCACTGACTGGTGACAATAACTAATCCACTGACTGGTGACAATAAATAACACACTGACTGGTGACAATAAATAACCCACTGACTGTGACATAGATAACCCACTGACAGGTGACAATAAATAACCCACTGGCCGTGACATGAATAACCCACTGACTGTGACATAGATAACCCACTGACAGGTGACAATAAATAACCCACTGGCCGTGACATGAATAACCCACTGACTGGTGACAATGAATAACCCACTGACTGGTGACAGTAAATAACCCACTGACTGGTGACAATAAATAACCCACTTAGTGGTGACATAAATAACCCGCTGACTGGTGACAATAGATAACCCACTGACTGGTGACAATAAATAACCAACTGACTGGTGACAATAAATAACCCACTGACTGGTGACAATAAATAACACACTGACTGGTGACAATAAATAACCCACTGAATGTGACATAGATAACCCACTGACAGGTGACAATAAATAACCCACTGGCCGTGACATGAATAACCCACTGACTGTGACATAGATAACCCACTGACAGGTGACAATAAATAACCCACTGGCCGTGACATGAATAACCCACTGACTGGTGACAATGAATAACCCACTGACAGGTGACAGTAAATAACCCACTGACTGGTGACAATAAATAACCCACTTAGTGGTGACATAAATAACCCACTGACTGGTGACAATAGATAACCCACTGGCTGGTGACAATAAATAACCCACTGGCTGGTGACAATAAATAATCCACTGACTGGTGACAATAAATAACCCACTGACTGGTGACAATAAATAACCCACTGACTGGTGACAATAACTAATCCACTGACTGGTGACATAAATAACCCACTGACTGGTGACATAAATAACCCACTGACTGGTGACAATAAATAACACACTGACTGGTGAAAATAAATTACCCACTGACTGATGACAATAAATAACCCACTGACTGGTGACAATAAATAACACACTGACTGGTGACAATAAATAATCCACTGACTGGTGACAATGAATAACCCACTCGCTGTTGACAATGAATAACCCACTGGCTGTTGACAATAAATAACCCACTTAGTGGTGACATAAATAACCCACTGACTGGTGACAGTGAATAACCCACTAACTGGTGACAATGAATAACCCACTCATTGGTGACAATGAATAACCCACTCATTGGTGACAATGAATAACCCACTCACTGTTGACAATGAATAACCCACTGACTATTGACAATAAGTAACCAACTCACTGGTGACAATAAATAACCCACTCATTGGTGATAATGAATAACCCACTCACTGGTGACAATGAATAACCCACTCACTGGTGATATTGAATAACCCACTCACTGGTGACGCTTGGTGGGTGTTGTATATAATGTCCAGTCATGGCTTTCTTCTGTGAGTATGATCTGGTCTTGAAACCATATACTGGTATCTGTCTGTCTAATGTAGAGGAGATCAGAAATCAGTGTAGCTGTCTGTCTGTCTGTTGTAATGGAGATCAGAAATCAGTGTATCTGTCTGTCTGTCTGTTGTAGTGGAGATCAGAAATCAGCATATCTGTCTGTCTGTCTGTTGTAATGGAGATCAGAAATCAGCGTATCTGTCTGTCTATTTGTCTGTTGTAATGGAGATCAGAAATCAGTGTATCTGTCTGTCTGTCTGTTGTAATGGAGTTCGGAAATCTGTATCTCTGTCTGTCTGTCTATTGAAATGGAGATCAGAAATCAGTATATTTGTCTGTCTGTCTGTTGTAATGGAGATCAGAAATCAGTGTATCTGTCTGTTTGTCTGTTGTAATGGAGTTCGGAAATCTGTATATCTGTCTGTCTGTCTATTGAAATGGAGATCAGAAATCAGTATATTTATCTGTCTGTCTATTGAAATGGAGATCAGAAATCAGTATATTTATCTGTCTGTCTGTTGTAATGGAGATCGGAAATCAGTATATATGTCTGTCTGTCTGTTGTAATGGAGATCTGAAATCAGTGTATCTGTCTGTCTGTCTGTTGTAATGGAGATCAGAAAACAGTGTATCTGTCTGTCTGTCTGTTGTAATGGAGATCAGAAATCAGTGTATCTGTCTGTTTGTCTGTTGTAATGGAGATCAGAAATCAGTGTATCTGTCTGTCTGTCTGTTGTAATGGAGATCTGAAATCAGTGTATCTGTCTGTCTGTCTGTCTGTTGCAGTGGAGATCAGAGATCAGTTAATTGTAGATGACAGGATCACAGAAATAGCTGACATCCTCTACAAGACCATAATCACATTTCCTGACCACAATAACCTTTTGATGTCCTCGTTTACTGCCTTGAAACATCTCCTAACTGATGGTAAGTATCATAGAAATAGCTGACATCCTCTACAAGACCATAATCACATTTCCTGACCACAGTAACCTTTTGATGTCCTTGTTTACTCCAATCTTTATACTGTGGGACATCTCTTAACCCTGTTGAAAAGATGCTGAATAAAAGACATTTATTATCAACTTATAATTAAACTGAAAGTAGATTTAAATAATTTTATATTTCAAATCTAATATACACTAAATGTTCACATTTTTTAATTCAATGTTTCTATTGATAGATCTTTTCTGTATTTTAGATTACGATCTACAAGAAAGTTTTATTAAAGAAAGATGGGAGATGGCCTTGAAATACTTATCAACCTACGAATCTAGTTCTGATGTTACACAGGCAATTTTGGCTCTTCTAGATGTCATCGCAGCTGACGGTAACAAAAAAAAAACAAAATAGACAAGAATTTAAAGTACTGACAAAGAGAAAATCAAAAGTTAACTGACAAAGAGTGAAACAAAATAGACAAGAGTTTAAAGTACTGACAAATCAAAAGTTAACTGACAAAGAGTGAAACAAAATAGACAAGAGTCTAAAGTACTGACAAACCAAAAGTTAACTGGCAAAGAGTGAAACAAAATAGACAAGAGTTTAAAGTACTGACAAAGAGAAAATCAAAAGTTAACTGACAAAGAGTGAAACAAAATAGGCAAGAGTTTAAAGTACTGACAAAGAGAAAATCAAAAGTTAACTGACAAAGAGTGAAACAAAATAGACAAGAGTTTAAAGTACTGACAAACCAAAAGTTAACTGACAAAGAGTGAAACAAAATAGACAAGAGTTTAAAGTACTGACAAAGAGAAAATCAAAAGTTAACTGACAAAGAGTGAAACAAAATAGACAAGAGTTTAAAGTACTGACAAACCAAAAGTTAACTGGCAAAGAGTGAAACAAAATAGGCAAGAGTTTAAAGTACTGACAAACCAAAAGTTAACTGGCAAAGAGTGAAACAAAATAGACAAGAGTTTAAAGTACTGACAAACCAAAAGTTAACTGGCAAAGAGTGAAACAAAATAGACAAGAGTCTAAAGTACTGACAAAGAGAAAATCAAAAGTTAACTGACAAAGAGTGAAACAAAATAGACAAGAGTTTAAAGTACTGACAAAGAGAAAATCAAAAGTTAACTGACAAAGAGTGAAACAAAATAGACAAGAGTTTAAAGTACTGACAAACCAAAAGTTAACTGGCAAAGAGTGAAACAAAATAGACAAGAGTCTAAAGTACTGACAAAGAGAAAATCAAAAGTTAACTGACAAAGAGTGAAACAAAATAGACAAGAGTTTAAAGTACTGACAAAGGGCGGAAAGACAATGACATCAAAAGTACTCAGACTAAGGGAGGAAAGACAATGACATCAAAAGTACTGACAAAGGGAGGAAAGACAATGAAATCAAAAGTACTCAGACTAAGGGAGGAAAGACAATGACATCAAAAGTACTGACAAAGGGAGGAAAGACAATGACATCAAAAGTACTGACTAAGGGAGGAAAGACAATGAAATCAAAAGTACTCAGACTAAGGGAGGAAAGACAATGACATCAAAAGTACTGACAAAGGGAGGAAAGACAATGACATCAAAAGTACTGACTAAGGGAGGAAAGACAATGAAATCAAAAGTACTGACTAAGGGAGGAAAGACAATGAAATCAAAAGTACTCAGACTAAGGGAGGAAAGACAATGACATCAAAAGTACTGACTAAGGGAGGAGAGACAATGAAATCAAAAGTACTCAGACTAAGGGAGGAAAGACAATGAAATCAAAAGTACTGACAAAGGGAGGAAAGACAATGACATCAAAAGTACTGACTAAGGGAGGAAAGCCAATGAAATCAAAAGTACTGACTAAGGGAGGAAAGACAATGACATCAAAAGTACTGACTAAGGGAGGAGAGACAATGAAATCAAAAGTACTCAGACTAAGGGAGGAAAGACAATGACATCAAAAGTACTGACAAAGGAAGGAAAGACAATGACATCAAAAGTACTGACAAAGGGAGGAAAGACAATGACATCAAAAGTACTGACAAAGGGAGGAAAGACAATGACATCAAAAGTACTGACAAAGGGAGGAAAGACAATGAAATCAAAAGTACTCAGACTAAGGGAGGAAAGACAATGACATCAAAAGTACTGACAAAGGGAGGAAAGACAATGACATCAAAAGTACTGACTAAGGGAGGAGATACAATGACATCAAAAGTACTGACAAAAGGAGGAAAGACAATGACATCAAAAGTACTGACAAAGGGAGGAAAGACAATGACATCAAAAGTACTCAGACTAAGGGAGGAGATACAATGACATCAAAAGTACTGACAAAGGGAGGAAAGACAATGACATCAAAAGTACTGACAAAGGGAGGAAAGACAATGACATCAAAAGTACTGACAAAGGGAGGAAAGACAATGACATCAAAAGTACTGACTAAGGGAGGAAAGACAATGAAATCAAAAGTACTGACTAAGGGAGTAAAGACAATGACATCAAAAGTACTGACTAAGGGAGGAAAGACAATGACATCAAAAGTACTGACTAAGGGAGGAAAGACAATGAAATCAAAAGTACTCAGACTAAGGGAGGAAAGACAATGACATCAAAAGTACTGACAAAGGGAGGAAAGACAATGACATCAAAAGTACTGACAATGGGAGGAAAGACAATGACATCAAAAGTACTGACTAAGGGAGGAGATACAATGACATCAAAAGTACTGACAAAAGGAGGAAAGACAATGACATCAAAAGTACTGACAAAGGGAGGAAAGGCAATGACATCAAAAGTACTGACTAAGGGAGGAAAGACAATGAAATCAAAAGTACTCAGACTAAGGGAGGAAAGACAATGACATCAAAAGTACTGACAAAGGGAGGAAAGACAATGACATCAAAAGTACTCAGACTAAGGGAGGAGATACAATGACATCAAAAGTACTGACAAAGGGAGTAAAGACAATGAAATCAAAAGTACTCAGACTAAGGGAGGAAAGACAATGACATCAAAAGTACTGACAAAAGGAGGAAAGACAATGACATCAAAAGTACTGACAAAGGGAGGAAAGACAATGACATCAAAAGTACTGACTAAGGGAGGAAAGACAATGAAATCAAAAGTACTCAGACTAAGGGAGGAAAGACAATGACATCAAAAGTACTGACTAAGGGAGGAGATACAATGACATCAAAAGTACTGACAATGGGAGGAAAGACAATGACATCAAAGGTACTGACTTAGGGAGGAAAGACAATGACATCAAAAGTACTCAGACTAAGGGAGGAAAGACAATGACATCAAAAGTACTGACTAAGGGAGGAAAGACAATGACATCAAAAGTACTGACTAAGGGAGGAAAGACAATGAAATCAAAAGTACTGACTAAGGGAGGAAAGACAATGAAATCAAAAGTACTGACTAAGGGAGGAGAGAAAATGACATAAAAAGTACTGACTTAGGGAAGAAAGACAATGAAATCAAAAGTACTCAGACTAAGAGAAATAAAAGAAAAGTTGAAAGAACTGAGGAAAAAGAAGAGAAAAAATACTCAGAGGAAGAAAAAGAGAAAGTGACCCATGATTCTGTTCTAACACCTAGCATTTGATAATTACATTTTTATGTCCCACCATGTCTGTTTGTCAGGTTTTGTCATGTAATGTCCTTTTCTAAAGCGTTGTCACATCTCCAGAACTCTCCCCAGAGTATCTACCCCAAACTGTCTTAATATCCACTGATAGATTAGGATGTGTTATAGATATTGTCTACTTTATTGGAGGGTTACACTGAACCATTTATTATCAGATCAGCAGATGGATTTCCTGGTTACTGAAAATATCCAGAAGTTGGTGATGAGTCGGTGTTTAAGTATGAAGAGCTCGGGAAGTGTGGTCGCTACCTGTTGCAGACTGCTTCGTCGGTTATGTCTGTCTGGTCAGTAATTCATAGATATTAAAAATACACATGTATATAAAATTATGTAATATACAACTTTGTACGTATTTGATATTTATGTATACTTGATAGGATAATGATGACATTGTGATCATGAGGCTACAGTTTCTGAATGCTTGGTTAGAGTTCGTCTTTTATTGGTGAAAAATTAAAATTGTTGCAAATGAAAAAAAAAAAGTTTTCAGAAGAAAGCTTTCACTCCAAATATATCAATCTGACCTGCCTCAATAATACTACATCAGTGATACGATAAAGAATGTTCTAAATTTCATTAAATTAACATTTTGAAAATTTCATTAAACCCCAGGTTAAGTCTAAGCAAGCTCTGAGTAACTGGCCCAGGTTAAGTCTAAGCAAGCTCTGAGTAACTGGCCCAGGTTAAGTCTAAGCAAGCTCTGAGTAACTGGCCCAGGTTAAGTCTAAGCAAGCTCTGAGTAACTGGCCCAGGTTAAGTCTAAGCAAGCTCTGAGTAACTGGCCCAGGTTGCCATGTTGTTCACTTTCTGATAGATTTTCCTCCTGTCTGATTTGTGTTAATCTATACATGCTTCGTATGGTGCTTCCAACTTTTAGCTTTTAGTAAATATGGTTCGTTTGGAGTACCCTCATATTGTACTTGTGTGCAGTAATATGATATATGTGTACTAGGTTCACTTAGGTGCTGTCTTTCTTGAGCTGAGTATATCAGACAGAACCCGTATGTAAAAACATGCTGTAAATAAATGTGTTGATTGTTTGTCTGGCTCCTGGTCGTTCGTCAGTAAAACTCGTAAAAGGGCATGCTACCATCTTTTAACTTTAGGGCAGTTGGATGGTGTAGTGATACCATACTTGCCTTTCACCTAGCTTTTCAGGGTTTAAAATTTCTGGATTGACATTAAAAGGTATGGGGTCACCTGACTCACCACATGGGTTTTCCCTGGTTTCCTCCCACTGTAAGCCACTTGAACGCTTCGAAACAGGCCAACAAGATTGATGGATAAAAGATTAAAAGCTTGTTTCACAATGGTTGTAAAATAGATCATGTTTTTAAAAGCTGAGCTTGTTTTTCAAGTTTTGTAAATAAATGCAACCAGAAATTTGTGTCTCTTTACTAATAACTGTATTTGATGATGGCGATGACTGGACAAGATCCGAGGGAAGATTTCAGCAAGTTTATTAACATGTCAGCTGATGAATTTGTTTATATCTGCATATATCGTCACAATGAACAATGTCGAAGAGTTTATATTACTTTAGGGGTAAAATGTAAACCAAAATTTGTCCTGAAGAAGCCAAATGTTCAGGTGTAACCGGTCGACGTAGTAATACAGTTATCACATTGAAGATTCTGAGTTTTTTGCGATTGACCACACCCCTTTCTTAGTTTGTACAATTCTTCAATCACCCTACATACCTTGGGGTATCCAAGGGAGGGATTACAAAACCTACCATACCTACACCTGAAGTACGGCCTTGGCTCTACACCCCTGGGGTTGTTTATATCTTGCGACATATGTCATCCAGTCATCTCTACCTTCATCTTAGAATCCTTTTGAAACTGGACTCTGTATTTCCTAGGAATCCATGTATTACCAAAACATTGGGAATATTTACTGGCATATGTGATCTCTGTTTTGTAGAATTAATTATTATATATTCATCATAAAGAAACTAGAGTTAGCTTAATAATCATAATTTGTCGTAAACACTGTCAAACTGTAAAACACTAAGATAGGATTAAACATAATCTAAATTTGATAATTATTGATTTAATAAAAACATTGTTCATTTAGATGCAGTGAAGGAGTTTGTCTTGATGGAGAATTTCCTGGAGACCACTTTGATCCCTATTATGTATGACCACCGGTCAAACGCAGATGTCCAGCAACATGGTCTTGACATTTTCTGTGTGTTGTGTAAGTTTATGTGAAAATGTTCGTTATTTCGGCTGTTATTTGTTTTACACTTAGTATGCTGTTATTTGTACTTCTACAATTTGCACCTGAGTTTAGACAAGTGTTACATGTAATGTGTTGAATGTGTTGGACTCTATGATATAACAATTAGTTCTACACACTATGACATAACATACATTTTATAACTTAGATACCTGAGAACACAAGACATTTGCCAACACAGTCCAACTTTTGACATCAGTAAAGAACTTAACTTGGTACAGTTGTTAATCTGTGTTTCATCTTTATACAGTAATGATTTCATGGCTGTTAATTGGTGTAAATTAACATTTAATAGTAAAGTAAACAAACATACAGAAATAAATGAATTTTAACAGCCAATAAGGGATAGAATGGATCAAACATCAACTGCCCTGAGACTGCCCCACGGACCTCTATTCAGACTGCCCCTGAGACTGCCCCACGGACCTCTATTCAGACTGCCCCTGACACTGCTTCACGGACCTCTATTCAGATTGCCCCTGGGACTGCCCCACTGACCTCTATTCAGACTGCCCCTGAGACTACCCCATGGACCTCTATTCAGACTGCCCCTGAGACTGCCCCATACACCTCTATTCAGATTGCCCCTGGGACTGCCCCACGGACCTCTATTCAGACTGCCCCTGAGACTGCCCCATACACCTCTATTCAGACTGCCCCTGAGACTGCCCCATACACCTCTATTCAGACTGCCCCTGAGACTGCCCCACGGACCTCTATTCAGACTGCCCCTGAGACTGCCCCACACACCTCTATTCAGACTGCCCCTGACACTGCTTCACGGACCTCTATTCAGACTGCCCCTGAGACTGCCCCACACACCTCTATTCAGACTGCCCCTGACACTGCTTCACGGACCTCTATTCAGACTGCCCCTGACACTGCTTCACGGACCTCTATTCAGACTGCCCCTGAGACTGCCCCACGGACCTCTATTCAGACTGCCCCTGAGACTGCCCCACACACCTCTATTCAGACTGCCCCTGAGACTGCCCCACGGACCTCTATTCAGACTGCCCCTGAGACTGCCCCACACACCTCTATTCAGACTGCCCCTGAGACTGCTTCACGGACCTCTATTCAGACTGCCCCTGAGACTGCCCCATACACCTCTATTCAGACTGCCCCTGACACTGCTTCACGGACCTCTATTCAGACTGCCCCTGAGACTGCCCCACGGACCTCTATTCAGACTGCCCCTGACACTGCTTCACGGACCTCTATTCAGACTGCCCCTGACACTGCTTCACGGACCTCTATTCAGACTGCCCCTGACACTGCTTCACGGACCTCTATTCAGACTGCCCCACACACCTCTTTTCAGACCACCCCTGAGTCCGCCCCTCAGATTGCCTCTTAAACTGCTCCTTCGACAGCCTCTGGAACTGCCCTTAGACTGCCCCTCAGACCACTGCTGAGACTGCCCCTCAGATTGCTTTTCAGACTGCCCCTGAGACTGCCACTGAGACTGCCTCTCAGAGCACCCTCAGACTGCCCCTCAGACTGCCTCTGAGTCAGCCCCTCAGACCTCCCCTCAGACTGCCCCTCAGACTGCTCCTCAGACCGCCCTTACACTGCCCCTCAGACCACTCCTGTGTCCGCCCCTGAAGATTGCCTCTCAAACAGCCCCTCAGACAGCCTCTGAGACTGCCCCATAAACTGCCCCTGAGACTGCCCCTCAGATTGCCTCTCAGATTGCCCCTGAGACTGCCACTGAGACTGCCCCTCAGGCCACCCTCAGACTGCCCCTTAGACTGCCGCTGAGACTGCCCCTCAGACCACCCCTGAGACTGCCTCTCAGATTGCCTCTCAGACCACCCCTGAGACTGCCCCTGAGTGTGCCCCTCAGATTGCCCCTCAGACCACCCTCAGACTGCCCCTCAGACTGTCCTCAGACCACCCCTCAGACCACTCCTCAGGACAAAAGTGGGTCCTGAAAATTTGACCACTTACTATACACTCTGTCCATGCTCTGTATCTCCTGCACTACCTGTCACATACATTTTGTACTTTGGGTACAAGGTTACCTTTAGGGTGGTGAGGCAAAGTATTCTAGTCATTTTGGTGGGGACTGTAATTCTCTGAATTGTATATGTAAGTATATGTAAGTATATGTATTCTTGTCATTTTGGTGGGGACTGTAATTCCCTGAATTGTATTGTAAGTATATGTAAGTATATGTATTCTTGTCATTTTGGTGGGGACTGTAATTCTCTGAATTGTATATGTAAGTATATGTAAGTATATGTATTCTAGTCATTTTGTTGGGGACTGTAATTCCCTGAATTGTATATGTAAGTATATGTAAGTATATGTATTCTAGTCATTTTGGTGGGGACTGTAATTCCCTGAATTGTATTTGTAAGTATATGTAAGTATATGTATTCTAGTCATTTTGGTGGGGACTGTAATTCCCTGAATTGTATTGTAAGTATATGTAAGTATATGTATTCTAGTCATTTTGGTGGGGACTGTAATTCCCTGAATTGTATTGTAAGTATATGTAAGTATATGTATTCTAGTCATTTCTTTTCTCAATCCTTTTGTTGACTTTTTATATTACAGTGAAATACAACATCTCCGATGACGATGGACATGATTCTTTCAATCTTGGTCCTCTGTATGATTGGTGTGAACTTATCAGCATAGCTATGTCTAAACACCTTGACAACACTGATGTACAGGTGAGTTATTTTACTTATCTCATATTCAGACTTACAATAAAAAAACAAAAAATGTGTTAAATTTAATAATAGAAGTTTAATTCTATAAAACAATACTTATCATTAGTCATACAGCCATGATCATAATTATACCGGATATGACCTCATAATTGATAAAGAATTGTTTAATATTTGCTCATTAGACTGTACGTGGTTAGAACCATACATCACACTATGTTGTATCCTTGTTTCTCCAGGAGTTTTTATCACTGTCCCTCTCTGCACCCCTGGATCATGTCATGGCAGAATTTAAGGCACAAGCAAAATTATTTTGTTGGTTCCAGGAGAAAGAAATTGACCAATCACAGACTGATACGGTCCTTTTTAAGATTACAAAGGAGCAACACCCAACTTCAAAGCCATTACAGTATACCATTGTGCGACCTTGAGATTTGTTTGAAGTACATGTACATCAAAGGATCAAACTAGTGTCTTTGATTTGTTCACTAGGTATCGCAAATGGAACCTTCAATCTTGCCATGACATTTGTTCCAGGCATGCAGAGAGCGAAAGTGATCGTAATCCATAGGATATCGAAGATGACTATGTTAATGTGCTCTCTGTGTGCTTCTGTTATTTTTAATCACATTTTAGAATTCTCTTTCTAACACTTTTCATGTGCCAATATGAATCAGTGATGTTTATTGTTTTACTTATGAACTTTGACCTTTTTCAATCCTATATCATGATTGTACATTTTTATGATTGACGACAATCTGTATCATGTACTCTTGATCTGCATGTTTGTTGGATTTTTTGCCTCTGCTGATCTGAACCTGTTTACATTTGACTTTTGACCTCCAATGATCTGAACCCTGTTTACATTTGACATTTGACCTCCAATGATCTGAACCCTGTTTACATTTGACTTTTGACCTCCAATGATCTGAACCCTGTTTACATTTGACTTTTGACCTCCAATGATCTGAACCCTGTTTACATTTGACTTTTAACCTCTAATTTGAACCGTGTTTACATTTGACTTTTGACCTCCAATGATCTGAACCCTGTTTACATTTGACTTTTGACCTCCAATGATCTGAACCCAGTTTATATTTGACTTTTGACCTCCAATGATCTGAACCCTGTTTACATTTGACCTCCATTAATTTGAACCCTGTTTACATTTGACTTTTGACCTCCAATGATCTGAACCCTGTTTACATTTGACTTTTGACCTCCAATGATCTGAACCCTGTTTACATTTGACTTTTGACCTCCTATGATCTGAACCCTGTTTGCATTTGACATTTGACTCCAATGTTCTGCACCCATTTTGCATTTGATTTTTGACCTCCAATTATCTGGACCCTGTTTACATTTGACTTTTGACCTCCAATGATCTGAACCCTGTTTACATTTGACCTCCATTGATTTGAACCCTGTTTACATTTGACCTTTGACCTCCAATTATCTGAACCCTGTTTACATTTGACTTTTGACCTCCAATGATCTGAACCCTGTTTACATTTGACCTCCATTGATTTGAACCCTGTTTACATTTGACCTTTGACCTCCAATTATCTGAACCCTGTTTACATTTGACTTTTGACCTCCAATGATCTGAACCATGTTTATATTTGGCTAGTGACATTTGACCTCTAATTTATTGATCTGTGAATGTCACCTATAGCCTCCTATGTGATAAAATGTTTGTTTGTTTACAGATTTGTGGATGTCATGCTTTATCAGCTTTAATTGAGTTAAAACCTGAAGCTTGTCAGTGGATAGGTGAAGATGTCGTTGACGGCCAGTCACAGTATGTGTCACTTATATATCAGAAGGTCTTTTTTTCTCTTCATTCAAAGTTGGAATGAAATCATAACAATAGACATTTATCTGTTGATACATTTGACTTTTGACCTCCAATGATCTTATTTGGCTAGTGACATTTGACCTCTAGTAAAAATATGGTACCTACACCCATCTTTGTATCCCAATATATCACAAAAGATTCAAAAATAGACATTTATCAGAAAATTATTAAAAATGATAGTCGACTTCAAGGATTGAAAAAGTACATGCAATTTGGTGAAACTCCAGAATTTGAACCATAAAAATAACACCCTTCATAGCACATGATGATAAACCTGGTGAGATGAGATTGTTCAGGAGTATGATCACTACTTGTACAATGTATGAACTCTTAAATGAGATAAATAGCAAAGACTAATTTCATTTCAGTAATAATTACCATAACTTTAGTATGCAAATATGGTACCTACACCCATCTTTGTATCCCAAAAACAAAAGATTCAAAAATCCCGCCCTCCCTACGACCATGAGCCTTCACGTCATGAACATAGAGTTATTTCCCTTCCTCTTATCTTTATGGCTACCGGAGCGGGCGGATATATATTCAGCTGAGTGCCTTCCTTTTCCTTTTAGCTTAAGTCTACCTTATAGCCGATTATTTATATATCGGTTTATTGCTTTAAACCCATCCTTAACTATAACAGTCTTTAGCAGACGTTTATTTAGTTAATATATCCTGCTTTTAGGCCTTAATCGGCCGGCCTTTGTTCGGCCTTTGTTCGGCCATTTTGCTATACTCCACGCACCGAGCGCGTATCTACGTGTTTTGCGCTGTTCGGTTTTTTCGTGAAGTTTTTTCGCTTTTTATCGGTCGTATTATTTATTCGACCGTATATTTTGCTTTGCTTTTTTACGTTTCGTTAGCTTTTGCTTTCGTTCGTATTTGTTTGTTGGAGTTGTGTTTTTTCACTCCATTTATTTTTGTTACGTTTATTTGTATTAATAACTGTTGTTATTTGATTATTTATTTCGTAACAATTATGGATTCAGGGATGCGTCGTGGTTCAGCACATGGGTGTTCTCACTTCTACGGAGAGCAGGACCCCCATGATGCCTGTCCCTTATGCCGACCTTGCAGCGAGGCCTCGCCGTGCGAACTTTGTTTGCACGCCGGGTCCGCTGTAAAGGCTCCCCTACCCAGTCGGCGAACTTCTCGCCGGAAGAGGGATTCGTCCTCATCTTCCGGTAAGAGAGGTAAGCCATCCAGGTTTTCTACCCCCGGCCCTGAGCCGAGGGGTGAGGTTGTCACTGCTGGGGGTGTTCTCACACTGAGCTCCGCCCTCGAGCAGGGGGTGGCTCCCCCTGTCCAGGCGCGTCCTGGTATAGGGGGGGAGCAACCCGACCCTGACTCGGCGAAGTCTAGGGTCGAATCGGCCGGTAGCTCTCGACAGCCGGCGGTGCTACCGTCGGAAAGGGACTTCCGGTCACAGGTCTCTGAGTCTTTCAGGGACCTCGGCACGCCAGGTGGCGTCGTTGGTGGGGGCCGCCCTGACGCCGGACCGGTACCCTCGGGTATGGGGTCAGGGGTCACTGATTTTTTGTCAGGGTTGTCAGTGGCTACGGGGATTAGTGACACTGAGTTCACTAATCCTAGTGTCAGTGCGGGGCCTGGGTTCCTACCCTCACAGGTCTCTGGATCTGGGGCTTTTCGCTCTAGTCCAGATTTTCCGGTGCAAGGTTTCCCAGGGGGTTTCCCCCAGGGATTTGGGGCCCCAGGTCAGGCTTCCGGTTTCCGGTCGCCTTTTCCCCCGGGCTCGGGGTGTAGGGGTGCCTGCGGGCACTCAATCCCGGGCCGCCCAGGCCAACCTGCGGATGGTCATGGGTACCAACAGTTACCCAGCTGTTACGGGCTCGGCCCGTACATGGCTGGGTTTCCACCTGGTGGGAGTGGAGGTTCATCCTGGTCCTTTGGACAGGGTGTCCAGCCCCAGGCTCAGGCAGGCCAATTTGGTCAGTTCTGGGGTCACTCCCAGCCCGCGGGACTGTTCCCATTCCCTCAGGGGTTTGGGTTCAACCCCATGGGTCTTCCTTCATGGAACCCTTGGGGTATGGTCTCTCCCTCTAGGAGACGTTTTAGCAGTGCTGAATCCCCCCAACGCTCTGCTACTTCGGGGGCCGTTTTGGCCGGTCCTAAAAAGGTTCGCCGGACCTTTAGGACTTCCGCCTCCCGCGCGGACTCGTCGGTCTCCTGTCCTCAGGGGTTGGCTTCTAAGCCTACAGCTTCGGCTGTTAGACGTTCTACGTCTAAACGCCGTATAGAGGAGTCCCCCTCTCCGGAGAGGTCTCCTCTGGCGGCCCCTGTTCCTCCCAGGGCGACTTCGGTCGTTAGCGAGGAGGAGATGGACTCTGAGGGCGTGGGCTTGGCAGAGGATGATGATGTTATCCATCTGTCTCCTGGGTGCTCGGCGATTGATCCGTCCGAGTCATCGGCAGATGACCCTTCTGACCAGGAGGGTTCCCAGGAGGTAGGGGGCTCCGAGATTGCTGAAACCGAGGCTCAGCATGTTCTTTCGGGGATGAGGGCCCTACGGGCCGACATTTCTCGGATTCTCGGAGCGGAGGTATGCCCACCCCCTTCTGCATCGTCGGTGCCCGAGTCCACCACCCTTCTAGGTTCTTTGGTGGCTCCTCGGGCTTCCGTTCGTACTGACCGGACTCTGCCAGAAGGCACCATTGTGTCTTCGGCTCTGGCCACTGCCCGGGCACGGGTTCTGGAGAAGAATTCTTCATCTACCCGCACCCCCGGGTTTGCCGGTCTGCAGCTCGGTGTTGGCGATTTGTCAGAGGCTTCTACCGCTGACTACGCTACACATGACGGGCAACTGGCCCCTCAACCAGCAAAGCTGGAGTCGAGGGAGCTGGCTGCCTGGCCCGGCAAATCAGTGGACCAGGTGGTGTTCGATGCTAGAGAACACCACAGGATGGAGAGGATGTTGCGCCTTTCCATCCAAGTTCTGTCTTACATAGACTTCCTGACTGTGAGTCTATACAAGGTATCCGACTTGCCTGAGGGTCGGGTACCAGAGACGGAACAGGCCGACATTCAGGACAGGCTTACAGCTGCCCTGAACGCGGCGTTGAGGGCATCGGCGGCCTTACAGGTCTCCCTGCTCGCCAATGTCGTGTTGGCTAGGCGATTTTCTATTTTAAAGAATCGCCCAGTCGAAGAACCTTATCTTTCCCGTCTATTGACTGCCCCCTTCACTGGCTCTACCCTGTTCGGGGGAGCTCTTCCTTCTGTCCAGAAGGATATGAAGGAGGACTCGGTCGCCTCAGCACTCTTGGTGAAGAGGTTTCGTTCCGAGAAGGCCAGCACCTCGCAGGGGTCAGCGCCTCCCAAGAAGAGGGCTAAGTTTTCGGCTGGGCAGGCGTCTGCCCAACCCAAATCGCAGCCATACTTCAAGGGCAATAAGGGGAAAGGTAAGAAAGGTAAGAAACCTCCTGGGGGCAAGAAGAAGGGTTCCTGACTCTTTCTTCTCCTTGACCGAGACAGAACAGGGGTCTGGCGGGGTGGACGGCGGTCCTCCCGTTCAGGTCTCTTGTCCTTCTCCCGCAGGCTCAGGCTCCGGATGGGCGGACGATTCTCTGTTTTGGCAGGGACTCGATCTGCCCCAGCCAGAGCTTCCTGTGGGCGGGCGTCTCTCCGCTTTCCTATCCCAGTGGCAGGAAATTACGGAGGACGTGTGGACGTTGTCGGTGGTCAAGGAGGGTCTAGGTATTCCCCTTCTTCAGGATCCGCCTCTTACCGCCCAGCCGATCTTCTTTCCTCCTCCGGGGGATTTGGAGAAGGCTCGGGCGATCCAGGAGGAAGTAAGGACCTTGCTTGCCAAGGGCGCGGTAGAGGAGATTCCTATGTCGGAAATCACTCCCGGCTTCTACTCCCGAATGTTTCTCGTTCGGAAGAAGTCCGGAGAGTGGCGCCCGATCATAGATCTCAGTGCCTTCAACAGGCACGTAGATTCTCCTCACTTCAAGATGGAGACCCCACGGGGCATCATGGCCTCCGTGAGGGAAGGGATGTGGGCAACTTCAGTAGATCTGAAGGACGCCTATTTCCATATCCCCATCAAGAAGTCGGCACGGAAGTTCCTCCGTTTCACGTGCAACGGCAAGGTCTTCCAATTCCGGGCCATGCCCTTCGGGCTGACGACAGCTCCCTTGGTGTTCACCAAGCTGCTGCAGGTAGTCGTGGGATTCCTTCACTCTCGCGGAATAGACGTCCACATCTATTTCGACGACTCCCTCATGCTTCACAGGGTGAGGGAATCGTTAGTGAAGGATACCAGGCTGGTCCTGAAAGTCTTACTCAAAGTCGGCTTCATTCCTTCCAGAGAGAAGTCAGAGGTTTCCCCATCTCAGGACTTTGTCTTCCTGGGGAATCGTTTCGATACGGTTCTGGGCATAGCCCTACCACCGGTGGAGAAGTTCGAGAAGGCCAGGGCTCTAGCTCTGTCCTTCATCGAACGGTCGCAGGTCCAGGTACGTTGGTTCCTCAGTTTTCTGGGGTATCTCAACGCCCTGGCAGATGTGGTCCCCCTAGGGAGACTTCACATCAGACCTCTCCAGATGTTCCTCCTGTCCAACTGGGTTCCGTCATCCAGGAAGTGGGAGGCCTGGATAACTCTCACTCAGTCGGTCAGGGAGTTCGCTCGCTGGTGGACCATTCGGGAGAATGTTCTCCGCGGGGTTCCTCTGACCAAGCCTGTCCCCTCCATGACCCTGTTCACGGATGCTTCCATGACAGGATGGGGAGCTTACCTCGACGGCCATTGTCGCTCGGGGGAGTGGTCTGGGGATCAGCTCTCGGAGCACATCAACGTGCTCGAGATGAGGGCAGTTCTTTTGGCACTGCAATCCTTTCGGGGATTCCTGCAGTCCAAGGCGATTTGTGTGGCTACCGACAACTCTACAGTTGTCGCGTATCTGGAGAGACAAGGGGGCACCAGGTCTCTGTGTGCCCTCTCCATCCGCATCCTTCTTCTCTGTCAGGAGATGCAATTGTCCATTACGGTCAAGCATCTTCCGGGCAGGTTGAATGTGTTGGCGGATACCCTCTCCAGGCGCCGCCAACCGGTGTTGACGGAATGGCAGCTGTGTCCCTCGGTCTTCCGGGGAATTTGTCAGGTGTGGGACAGACCTTTGATAGATCTGTTTGCCACTTCTCTGAACAATCAGCTGCCAACCTTCGTCTCTCCGGTCCCAGATCCGAAGGCTTGGGCTGTGGACGCCCTTTCTCTGGACTGGGACGGGATGCATGCTTATGCATTCCCTCCCTTCAACCTGGTGGGCAGGGTGCTTCAGAAGTTCAGGGAGCATCACTGCTCCTTACTTCTGATAGCCCCCCTTGGTTTCCAGAGCTCTTGTCGTTTCTGGTGGAGGAGCCACTGGCTCTCCCCACCAGACCGAATCTCCTGCGTCAGCCTCGGTCCAGGACGACACACTCTCGACCAGAGATCCTCCACCTTCACGCGTGGAGGCTATCTCTGGAAGCCTCGCCAAGGCAGGCTTTTCTCGAGAGGTGTCAGATCGCATCGCGCGATCTATCAGGGCTTCCTCTTCTGCCGTCTACCAGTCCAGATGGAAGATCTTCTGTGATTGGTGTGTCGGCAGGGAGGTTGATCCATTGGAAGCCTCTGTTCAGCTGATTGCGGATTTCCTACTCTCTCTGTTTAGGGACCGCAATCTGGCACCTGGCACTATTGCTGGCTATAGGACAGCAATTGCCAGTGTCTTGGCTTTTTACGGCAGGAAGGAGATAGGTTCTTCCTCATCTCTTTCTGCCCTAATCAGAGGCTTCGCTTTGGATAGACCCAGAGTTCGGCAGCTGGCCCCGCAGTGGAATTTAGCCTTGGTGCTAGATTCCCTGACGAGGTCACCTTACGAGCCTATGGAGTCTGCCTCTTTGAAGTTTCTAACTTTTAAGACAGTCTTCCTTTTGGCTCTGGCCTCTGGACGTAGGAGGAGTGAAGTGCACGCCCTGTCGTCACTTCCTTCCTGCCTTCGTTGGTCCAGAGGCTACGCTGCCGTTACTCTTTTAACTGATCCTTCCTTCCTTGCGAAGAATCAAGTCCCGGGGTTCTCGCCCGATCCCATCAAGATTCCGGCTTTGACTAGCTCGGAGGAGAGGGATAGATTGCTTTGTCCCTGTAGGGCTCTTAGGTTTTATCTCGATAAAACCAGGGGGGGCGGGGCTCCAGATCCCATCTATTTTTGCCTATCAAACAGGGACAGCGAGACATCTCCTCCCAGTCGGTGTCTAGGTGGGTATGCCAGGTCATTAAGTATGCTTATGAGCATTCTGATGACCAGGCTCGGGCGAGGGTGAGAGTGCGGGCTCATGAGGTAAGGGCCCTCGCTGCATCCTGGGCCCTTCTTAATGGGTCCTCCTTTCAGGAGGTCATGTCTGCTGCCTTCTGGCGGGGCAGGGATACATTTACAGATTTTTATCTGAGATCCCTGGCTTCCCACTCAGAAGGTTTGTATTCTTTGGGACCTCTGGTGGTTGCACAGTCTGTGGCTGTGCCCCCCCGTTAGCCCCGGGGCTCGTCTTTTCCGTTCGGCGGCACGTGGTTTACCTGCTCGGTCACGGGGAGGTTGTCCCTTCTTATTCTATGCACTCTGTCCCCCCTCCCTACTAAGTTTAGTGTGCTAGATGGGCTGCCTGGCTGCTAGTCACCACTACGGTAAGACGAATTGGCATACTAAAGTTATGGTAATTATTACTGAAATGAAATTGAGGTTTTTTAATGTAAAACCAATTTTCATGAGGTAATACTTACCATAACTTTATGGAGTCCCACCCTTTCGTCCCTCTTCCTATCTGCCTGACTGCCCCTCTACGGGTGCTACATAAAGGCTAAGAGGAAGGGAAATAACTCTATGTTCATGACGTGAAGGCTCATGGTCGTAGGGAGGGCGGGATTTTTGAATCTTTTGTTTTTGGGATACAAAGATGGGTGTAGGTACCATATTTGCATACTAAAGTTATGGTAAGTATTACCTCATGAAAATTGGTTTTACATTAAAAAACCTCAAATTCAAATTTAAAATTGAAAATTTAAATATTTATTTCCTTATGTGTGTTTGTAGATTGCCGATTCATACAATATGTCTGGGTGCCATTATGATGTTTGGTGATGATCATGAAGTGTTTGCAGCAGCCTGTGATGCTATTTATTGGCTTGCTGCTGACAATGGTAGGAGTTGTCATAGCAACCAGTATGACACATTGATCTCAGAAATGTCATCATAAAGTAAACATTGCTGCTGTTTTACATGAAAAGTGTTTAAAATTTACCTCACCAAATTAAAAAACTTTCATTGTTTTTTCAATTCAGAGAATAAAGATAAATTAAACATAAAAAAATGAACAAAGATGATTAAAAAAAAAAAAAGGTAACAGCTGCGTCAATTATTTTCCACAGAGACCCTGTGTACCCAGCTGATGGAGAGAAATTGTCACTTAGCTATCATTGATGGCCTCAATAAACATCTAGATAAACCGGTTGCCATGGAGACGGGCTGCAAGGCTGTCCGAGGACTGTGTATATTTCAGTAGGTATTTCATATCCAAATGTAATCATTTTTATGGGAACTCATTTTTTGCACATGGTCACAGTTCTAAATAATAAAAGAAAGAAAAGAACTGGGGCAACATATTAGCGGAACTAATTTTAGTGCAGTATTGATGAAACAAATCGCTTTCAACGTAAACCGTATCCATTTTTACACAGTGAACCCTACAAACATGTTGTCATTAGAGACGGAATACAGGCAATCATCACCAAGGCAATGAACAAGTTCCCGGGAAACCCAGAGATACAGATCGAGGTCATCAGTATGCTTGCCTGTCTAGGAGATGTAGGTCTGTAACAAAAATATTAATTGATGATAATATTGTTTACAAATTAAATTTTGTTTTTAATTAGCTCTTCAGAAATGTAGAAAAAGAAAATTTGAAGCAGTAATTTATTAATTGACTTTTGTAGTGAACAATATTCAACATAGCTTGCGATTCGTTGTATGAATTATAAACAGTCAATTTAGATGCTGGAAATTTCTCTTGCTATCACTGGTACAATAAATTTCATTGTTTCAATATTTTGTTAATTTGTTAATAAATATAAAATCTTTTACAAAGACATGATATTAGATTGGGAGCTAAACTTGGTAATACCGTGGTAACTTGTTATCTCAAAATTCAAGGAACTGTAGGAAATACTTTGACTCCAAATTTTGACTGACAGAATGTCCAAATATGGTTGATGGTGTCAGTTTCCTGACGTTGATTACTATTGAACGAATTAGGGCTACAATATTACACAAACAGCGTAATTTAATCTGTTATTTGAAATGGAAGTAAATAAATAGAAGCAAATAAAGGGCCGGTTTCCAAAACGGCCCCTTCTCTGATTCAAATTTCCTGTTGGTGGTGCATTGCCCATGCCGTTGTGGTCACAAATCTATAAAGTATAAAGATTTAGGTCACTTGGTTTGTTTTTTATGGCTCCTCAAAGTTGTACCTTTCAGAAGCTGTCTAAGTGTTGATAAAATGTGCATGTTATGTAAAATATTAATGAAAATCTAATCAAATGATAGTCACCGTAAAGAATACATTCATGGCATGATTGTGTCAAAAAATCATGTTTCCATCGCGCCATTTGGCTGTTTTATGGAAGAAACAATCTCAAAAATGCCATTTTTGATGATAACATTTTAGACACAAAAACTGTGTTTTTTAGAGAATACACCCTTTTATGGGCGTTGGATGCAAACCAATTTTTATCCTATTAAATAGTACGTAATATGCTATTGATGAGAGGAAAAATCATCAAAATGTAAGTGGTGGAACATTTTCAAATGTTGGGTTGAATTAGCCTATGGTTGAATTGCCGAATTTCGACTTTCTTCAGATAATTAACAAAAAAACGAGAGTATTTGCTCGGTATGTTGAGAATATGTACACAGATATGAAAAGAAGTGAGAGAAACACTTTTTCATAAAAAAATCCAAGATGGCTACTTCGCAAGTCCCCGTGGTTGAAGACATTGGCTGACAAATAGACAGAACAACAAACAAAACATGTTCCTTATGATTTTGGTTGGTTTTCACATTTACGGGATTGTTCATAGCTACCGGCGATTGTATAATACCTATATTTATAAGTTTGGTTAGTCACATGGTAATGGGGACCTTTCATATCGAGCCCCAAACATACTTTCGACATATGCACTCTGTTGCCGCATGGAAAACTATTTCAAGTTTTGTCGGAATTCCTTTACCTGTGGTTGTAATGGTCAAGGGTTTTCCAGCGTCCTGTAATACCCAAGGTAGTACAAGATACTGGAGATGTGCGCACACATTCCCATCGTTCTCTCTCCAACTGGGCACTGGCAGAAGTAGTCCTTTATTGGGGCCTCAACATCGGGTGAAACGGTGAACCGTATCCAAACGTTTCGTTTGGCTTTTGTGTAGAGAATGTATTTGACATCGGAGAAGGTCTGGGGAGTGCTGGTAAAGCCACACCTCATAGCCGCCGTCATCACTTAATGTTCGGCGATGTAACCAGGAGCCAGAGATATCTGATACGTTCCACACGTAATGGTTCTCAAGTAATCAAGATCGAGATGGGGAAACAGTACTTTTTTTTTTTTTTTACACATCATAAAACTGTCATGAAAATATCCGCTCTGATATTCAATATAAAAGTTTGTATATAATAAGCTATATAATAGGGTTTCAGACAAGGTTGTTACTAATTTCCCCTTTTCTTTCAATTTACAACCACATTCAGGCGGCGATATGAGAACGTTCCACCACATGGAATTAGCTGATTTTTGGTACACATATGAAACAAGTAAAGCTCTATCCGATTTTCTGATGGAAATTTGCATCCAAAACTATATAACGGGAGAAAATTGCAAATTTATGGCATTTTTCTTCATAATTGTGTCTGCAAGTGCATTTTCATCCGAGAATATTTTTTTTTTATGTTTTATGAATAAACACGATGTTTTGGAAATATTTATCAAAAGAAATTTATATTATGTTGCGAATTACAATTTCGAGATAACCTTCTTTTATTTACGAACTTATGTCTTTGATGCTGAAATTGACAACTTTATAAAAATACATTTTCACTGAAATTATGAAATCTGGGTGTCGGAAAGGTGTAAAATTATTTTTCGGAAAAGAAAAAAACAGTAGTTGAGCTAGATAAGAAATTATACGGGGGCAGGCTCCTATGGAGAATTAACACTACTGGAAACAGGCCCTTTCTACTTTTTCCTCTTATTGTTTATTCTTCCAAACAACAAAACAATAACAACTCCAATTAACTACATTTGTACTCACGTCGTTCTGTCCCTGCACGTGTACACTAACCTTACTGACCAAGCACATAAAGATCATATATTTTACGGAATAACACGAAAACAAATTCAAAATTTGTTTTTGATACATTACAAGAAATGGTGTATGAAGCTATAGATCATATTAATATGACTTTAAAAATGTGAAAAATGTGGCACTGGAAAGATTTTAACCAGTTAGAGAAAACATTAAACAAACACTAGACTCAACTAATTACACACAGATTCAGACTCTATCAATGGAAAATACTTTCAGCACTTCATTGTCCAAACACTAAATCTAGCAAAGTGCACAGTCAAAAAAACAGAAATTTCATGACAAGGAATGACATTTCTCTTGCTTTACAACTTTAGGGAATGAAAGATCACTTCAACACAACTGAAATTTCAACTCAAAGAAATCATATCCGAACTAAAATTACAAAGATATAGAAGGAAAAAATTGAGACGGGAATTATTTTGACTCAACCAGAATTTCGACTCAAGCAATTTCAAAACAACAAGTTTCAACTGTAAATGTATCCCTGATTAACTGGATTAATTTTGTCAAGATTTTACTTTCGAAATAATATTTTTCAGATTATATAATAAATAAATCAATTATCAGTACTATTTTTGAATCTTTCATATTTAGTTTTAATAATATTGTTTGAATTTGATACAGTGGATTTTTAATGCTCACAATATTATTTTTAACTTTTTCAAATTAAGTTTGCTTTAATTACTGTTGATGAACGTTTCAGATATAGTATGTTATCAGTGCTTTGTTGACAATGTCCATTCTAAGATTGTGACCAATCTCGACATGTATAAAGACAACGGGATTCTACAGGAAGCTTGTCTCGAGTGTCTCAGTGTTTTAGCGTCACGAGGTAAGTATACACACTTAATGACCTCTCATGCAACTACTACCTGTTAGTACAAGTTAACTCTCATAGAGGGCGCCACAAAACCAAGTCTCTAGGACACTAAAGTAGTGCATCTCGAGTGAAACACAGGGTGTGAGGCATCCTGTTGGTTTTCCTGTGAGTTACTTCCTTTTTCTCTCTAACATTTCATTGAAGGGCAATGAAGTTTTACCAATGTCTGTTGTATGGGATGGTGGGGTGAGTGGGGTTGTTCATATCTCATATCTGTATTGGAGGTGGGGGGGGTGCAGGGGGGGGGGGGGTCAGTCATGTCTGTATGGGAAGGGGGGGTGTGAGTGGGGTTGTTCATATCTCATATCTGTATTGGAGAGGGGTAGGGGGGTCAGTCACGTCTGTATGGGATGGGGGGAGCAGGGTTGTTTATATCTCATATATGTATTGGTGGGTAGGGGGATCAGGCATGTCTATGGATTGGGGGCAGGGGAATTTGTAAATGTATGGGATGGGGCAGGGTCATTCATAGAATTAGGATTGGGATCATTTGTGTCTGTATGGGAAGAGAAAGGTCATTTATATCTAAGGTTCATTTGACAGTATATATCTGATAATATTTTGAACACTACTTCAATCAAGGCTGAATATACATGGTGTTGTTTAATTGATGTATGATGGTTTTTCAGTGAGTAATGTGGAGCTTCTACACGTGGCTGGCACAGTGACACGTGTGATAGACGTTCTCACCAACTACACGGAATCTATGTGTGAGTAAATGATTCCAGAATCAAATGTCAATTTAGATATTTATCAAATAATAACACTTACACATATAGGAGCTGGGACATAACAGATAAATATTTATCAAATAATAACACCTACACATATAGGAGCTGGGACATAACAGATAAATATTTATCAAATTTATAGGAGCAAAACAGATAATATTTATCAAATAATAACACCTACACATATAGGAGCTGGGACATAACAGACAAATATTTATCAAATAATAACACTTACACATATAGGAGCTGGGACATAACAGACAAATATTTATCAAATAATAACACTTACACATATAGGAGCTGGGACATAAGACAAATATTTATCAAATAATAACACTTACACATATAGGAGCTGGGACAAATATTTATCAAATAATAACACTTACACATATAGGAGCTGGGACATAACAGATAAATATTTATCAAATAATAACACCTACACATATAGGAGCTGGGACATAACAGATAAATATTTATCAAATAATAACACTTACACATATAGGAGCTGGGACATAACAGATAAATATTTATCAAATAATAACACTTACACATATAGTAGCTGGGACATAACAGATAAATATTTATCAAATAAGAACACTTACACATATAGGAGCTGGGACATAACAGATAAATATTTATCAAATAATAACACTTACACATATAGGAGCTGGGACATAACAGATAAATATTTATCAAATAATAACACCTACACATATAGGAGCTGGGACATAACAGATAAATATTTATCAATTAATAACACTTACACATATAGGAGCTGGGACATAACAGATAAATATTTATCAAATAATAACACACATATAGGAGCTGGGACATAACAGATAAATATTTATCAAATAATAACACTTACACATATAGGAGCTGGGACATAACAGATAAATATTTATCAAATAATAACACTTACACATATAGGAGCTGGGACATAACAGATAAATATTTATCAAATAATAACACTTACACATATAGGAGCTGGGACATAACAGATAAATATTTATCAAATAATAACACATACACATATAGGAGCTGGGACATAACAGATAAATATTTATCAAAAAATAACACCTACACATATAGGAGCTGGGACATAACAGATAAATATTTATCAAATAATAACACTTACACATATAGGAGCTGGGACATAACAGATAAATATTTATCAAATAATAACACCTACACATATAGGAGCTGGGACGTAACAGATAAATATTTATCAAAAAATAACACCTACACCTATAGGAGCTGGGACATAACAGATAAATATTTATCAAATAATAACACTTACACATATAGGAGCTGGGACATAACAGATAAATATTTATCAAATAATAACACCTACACATATAGGAGCTGGGACATAACAGATAAATATTTATCAAATAATAACACTTACACATATAGGAGCTGGGACATAACAGATAAATATTTATCAAATAATAACACACACATATAGGAGCTGGGACATAACAGATAAATATTTATCAATTAATAACACCTACACATATAGGAGCTGGGACATAACAGATAAATTTTTATCAAATAATAACACTTACACATATAGGAGCTGGAACATAACAGATAAATAGTTTGTCAAAGTGAAAATCAGAAAATATCCACCCACTCTTATTATCCTCCCCAAAATTTTCAGGGGAGCATATGTTTGCTGCCTTGTCCGTCCGTCCGTCCATCTGTCCGTCCGTCGGTCCGTCCATCTGGCCGTCTTACCATCCATCCTTTCATGTCCGTAGCATAACTTTGCCCACAGTAGTATACATTGATCATACAAAGACGACCAAACTCAGGGCCCTCAAGAAAGTTATTGCCCTTTGCTAAAAATCTGTGTCAAGAGTAAAACTTTGAATCTAAACTAGGATCATGAAACTTGGTGGATGGACTGATTATACTATGACAATGTGCTGTGTATGAAATTCAGCACCCTCGACCCCTCAAATTACAGAGTTACTGCCCTTTGTTAAAATTTTGTGTTCTATAAAGTTGTTTTTGGGTAACTTTCATCAGTTGGACTTAAAATGTTTTGTTTTTGACAAATTTGGCTCACATTGATCATCAATCAAGATATAACCGATACTTATGTTCACTTGTTCCCACTTATATGCTTGTCTCTATAACCATACTGTCATATCTTATATAAATCCATTATAGTTTATACAAAACAATCATTGTATAGAAATGTTAGTGGGTCTGAACAGAGGTATATAGGCAAGTGTAGTGACTTTTTCATCCTTTAAAAAAAAACTGCATTTTTTCTGATTTCCTTTGATCTGATGAAAGCTGTGTGTGTAAAAACATCGAACAGCTTTAAAACTACTGAAATATGTTAGAACAAAAAGAGGCTTTCTTTATCTGTAAGAATTTGGCGTTTACAGGATTTGAAAGTGTGAATTTTGTTGACCTATTTTCCAGACATTCAGAGGAAGGGTTTGATCCTGTTACAAGTTCTTGCTTCAGCAAAAATCTACGAAGACAGAAATCTGCATGATAAGTTGGCAGAAGTGATCAGCACAGCCATGCATGTACACCGTAACGACCTTGGTGTAGTGAAAGAGGTCAGTTCAAGGTTAATTAAGATATTCTTTAAACCATTGCGAAATACCAAATACCAAAATTTCAGTGAGTCACAATACTGAATATGAAGTCCCTGGGAATGAAATATATGCGTTCCATAATCACTTTGTTAAGATAAGTCTGTCTGTCTCTATGGTAACACTTGCTATTCAGAATACCCTGTTATCATGACCACTTGTGGGCAGTCCCGATTGTGATCTTGATAATGAAGTTTCACTGTTAGATTTTGTAATTCTCTCTCAATTTCAATCCGCCAATTTGATATTTGGTGTTGAATCTTAAAATGGAAAATTAGATGGTGACAAAAAAATGTACCTGTTTGGTATTGTTTTGATACTGGAATATCTTAGAATCTACATTGTGTTACCACAGGCCTGTGTAGCCATACAGATTCTATCAGAATGTGGAGGTCGTTGGATGAGTGACAGCTTTATCAAGCAAGGCTGCCAAGAAGTGCTCTTTCGTCTGCTTCAGGAACACAGTTCTGATCCACGTACGTGTATGAAGAGACTACCAAGTTTTTATCAGAGATGTTCCAAGCCTATGATGGGCCTCATTTCAAATCAAAATTATTTATGTTTAGGCTGAATTCTCAAAGCTTGCAATTTAATCCTGACCATTTCCTTCCTAATCTGCCAGTTTTCTTCCTCAAATGAGTCCCAAATACTGTAAAATGACGTAGATCATTAAACAATTTTGCATGAACGAATCTAGTAGGGTCGAGTTATTAATGATGTAATGAATTCAGTAACCAATATTCTATGTTTTAAATACTCTGGACAATTTTGTGGGACAATATAAAGCATGTTGTGTGTGAGTCTTTTGATGGGATCTAAATGTGGTGCTCTTATTGATTGATTTTTTCACTCAAACTTCCAGATGATTGGTGTTTTTTCTTTTTATACTGCACTATTTCAGTATGTATGGATTTCCTTTATGAAGGATATGCCTCGTTATTCTATGAAGTCATTAAAAAGTTCTTTTAGGAAACTTCTGCATCTTTAACTAAAATATGTTAGCTTCTTCAAGTGACGATAGCTGTTACTTTAAGTATAGAACAATCTCCTGCTGAAGTCAGACAGGCATGTTATATATTGGTAGTATTGTTCTCCTGTAACCCTGTAACAACAAGTATAGATGTGTTCTTCCTACATTTACAGCCTTTTGTCCTCGGACCTCAACAGAACATTCATGCTCTTCAATCATGTACAGTCATGAGTGAATGTTTGTATGTCCTCGGACCTCAACAGAACATTCATGCTCTTCAATCATGTACAGTCATGAGTGAATGTTTGTATGTCCTCGGACCTCAACAGAACATTCATGCTCTTCAATCATGTACAGTCATGAGTGAATGTTTGTATGTCCTCGGACCTCAACAGAACATTCATGCTCTTCAATCATGTACAGTCATGAGTGAATGTTTGTATGTCCTCGGATGTTCAATCATGTACAGTCATGAGTGAATGTTTGTATGTCCTCGGACCTCAACAGAACATTCATGCTCTTCAATCATGTACAGTCATGAGTGAATGTTTGTATGTCCTCGGACCTCAACAGAACATTCATGCTCTTCAATCATGTACAGTCATGAGTGAATGTTTGTATGTCCTCGGACCTCAACAGAACATTCATGCTCTTCAATCATGTACAGTCATGAGTGAATGTTTGTATGTCCTCGGACCTCAACAGAACATTCATGCTCTTCAATCATGTACAGTCATGAGTGAATGTTTGTATGTCCTCGGACCTCAACAGAACATTCATGCTCTTCAATCATGTACAGTCATGAGTGAATGTTTGTATGTCCTCGGACCTCAACAGAACATTCATGCTCTTCAATCATGTACAGTCATGAGTGAATGTTTGTATGTCCTCGGACTACAACGGGCCACTCTGTGCTGTCTAACATTGCACAATATGTGTGTTCTTTTTATTACAGAGGTACATGATTTGGCAAGTGAATGTCTCTACGTCTTCGGACTACAACAGGACGTTCTACGCGCTAAGATGTTGTTGTCTGCATGTCAAACAGGAAACATTCCTGTAAGTATCCTGTTTCATGGGTTAATCCAGATTTTGTGGAATACTACCATTTTATAAAAGAATTATCTTTTACCTTTTTTGTGAAATGGAGAAATTTCAGGCAGACTATTTGGTCTTATTTCTTAAGAGAGATAGAATAGAAATAAATGGCATACCTGCAGATAACATGAATTAAATAGGACAATGTTGAGGTTAGAATAATAGTTCTTGTTCATGATGGCATGGTTTGAAAAAAAAATTAAGTGAAAATATGCTAATTAACTCAGTTTTGGGGAAAACTTGCCCTATTTTTTGTTTTCAGTGTAAATTCTTGATGGGGAATTTGTTTATGTTCAGAGGAGAAAACAAACCCATTTCTTTTAGTGAAAATGGTATAGATTAAGAAATTCTTGCATTTCAATCCTTCTGCCAGAATTTTTGTCGATTCATAGCAATTAAAAGTTTTGTCTGTCATATACACATTTATAGTGATAGAAAACAAATATTTAGGTCAAACATCAGTGTGGTGCAGTTATTTAGGTCAAACATCAGTGTGGTGCAGAAATTTGGGTCAATCATTAGTGTGGTGCAGATATTTAGGTCCAACATCAGTGTGGTGCAGTTATTTAGGTTAAACATCAGTGTGGTGCAGATATTTAGGTAGATATTTAGGTCAAACATCAATGTGGTGCATTTATTTAGGTGAAACATCAGTGTGTGATGCAGATGTTCAGGTCAAACATCAGTGTGGTGCAGATATTTAAATCAAACATCAGTATGAAGCAGATATTTAGGTCAAACATCAACGTAGTGCAGTAATTTAGGTCAAACATCAGAATAGTGCAGTAATTTAGGTCAAACAGTGTTTTGCAGTTATTTAGGTCAAACATCAGTGTGGTGCAGATATTTAAATCAAACATCAGTGTGAAGCAAATATTTAGGTCAAACATAAGAATAGTGCAGTAATTTAGGTCAAACATCAGTGTGGTGCAGTTATTTAGGTCAAACATCAGTGTGGTGCAGATATTTAGGGCAAACATCAGTGTGGTGCAGATATTTAAGTCAAACATCAGTGTGGTGTAGATATTTAGGTCAAACATCAGTGTGGTGCAGTTATTTAGGTCAGACTTCAGTGTGGTGCAGTTAAATGGAGTAACCATTTATTTATTTTTTTGATTGTTGACATTCTATGGTGTCAGAAAACTACAAATCTGTTTATATGTATAACTCGTCTCAAGAATTCTTCTGAATTCTGATGTTGATACTTTCAGGCAGCAGAGTGTCTGATAGAGCTTGGTGCAGATGTCAACTTTGTACAGGATAGCTGTACTCCATTGTACATCGCTGTGGAAAAACAGAATGAGGAACTGGTTCAGCTCTTACTCAGACAGGTAAGTGTATTGTACCTGTAGAAGGAAAACAATGAACAAAATCACAGCAGGTATAATCACTAAGGGAGGTGGAGGCACAACGTCCCTAAGAGTAAATTTCCGTGGAAATCCCGATGAACTAGCCATGGATAAATTAGTATACATGAGGTCTCACTAAAAATCCAGGTAATGAGTACAAAGGAGTGAGTCCAACACGGTAATTCTTCTGTATACTTTATGTTTATTGTGGAACGTCGTATACATGTTTGGTCATCAGAACCAAACAAATTACTGATTAGTATATTTAGACTGTGAAGTGTTTATATTACAAACCTGTTTCAGAAATAAAAGGTAAGTATATGTAACAATAGCTACAGGTAGACAATAGTGAGTCTACCAACTATAATTCTGGTTTTTGTGATTGGTTATTTGTTTGGTTTTGATGACGGCTCACTTAGAGCCGAAGCATGTTAACAACGCTCCGCAAGAAACATCCAGTACACAGAAGAACTACCGTGTTGGATTCACTCCTTTGTACTAAAAAAAATACAGAAGGTAAATGTCATACCTTTGGGAGGACAACAAATCACTTTATAGACCAGAGAACTTATCCAAGGGATTGAAGATAATACCAATGTAGCAATTTGTTAAAAGAATTAAATAAGTTGGATGTTTGATTTGTAGTGTACCTGAAATTTAATTAATTATAGATAAAAAATAAGAATATAAAAGCCTAATAAATAAGCTGCATACTGTGAGTCATACATTGTCATAGAACTGAAAGTTTGTGTTTTTTTCTTAAAAATCACTATTTCATGGACTTATGACATTGTGGATTAAGAGTTTCCAATAAATAAGAAAAAAAAAATCAATTAAATCCAACACGAATATGATTTTACAATATTATTTACTCTAAAGATAAACATTTGTCCAAATAAATTTTCACTTTTACTGATAATAAATTTTTATTTTGGCCAGTTTTCAGTTTGGTGAAGAAATAGATTTAGCCATCTGGGTTTGGTTCATAGGTTTTTTTACCAGGTACTCTGGTTTCTTCCCACAATAAGACCCCTCGTCAGCTTACATCTGTGTCAACAAGACTGATTATTATAAGTTAAAATAACTTGTCTCAATAGTTTTAAAATAACTAAAATTTCTATTTATATATTTGACTAAAAATTCCCAGAAGCATCTGATCGAGGTTAAAGGTCATCTGTGTTATTGACCTACTGAAGAATGAGAAAGTATCTTATTTGAGTACAAGTGTTTAGGACAGCATAAACCTGGGGTTACACAAGTGTTTAGGACAGCATAAACCTGGGGTTACACAAGTGTTTAGGACAGCATAAACCCGGGGTTACACAAGTGTTTAGGACGGCATAAACCCGGCATAACGGCATAAACCTGGGGTTACACAAGTGTTTAGGACAGCATAAACCTGGGGTTACACAAGTGTTTAGGACAGCATACACAAGTGTTTAGGACGGCATAAACCTGGGGTTACACAAGTGTTTAGGACAGCATAAACCTGGGGTTACACAAGTGTTTAGGACAGCAGAAACCTGGGGTTACACAAGTGTTTAGGACGGCATAAACCCGGGGTTACACAAGTGTTTAGGACGGCATAAACCCGGGGTTACACAAGTGTTTAGGACGGCATAAACCCGGGGTTACACAAGTGTTTAGGACGGCATAAACCCGGGGTTACACAAGTGTTTAGGACGGCATAAACCCGGGGTTACACAAGTGTTTAGGACGGCATAAACCCGGGGTTACACAAGTGTTTAGGACGGCATAAACCCGGGGTTACACAAGTGTTTAGGGTTACACAAGTGTTTAGGACGGCATAAACCCGGGGTTACACAAGTGTTTAGGACGGCATAAACCCGGGGTTACACAAGTGTTTAGGACGGCATAAACCCGGGGTTACACAAGTGTTTAGGACGGCATAAACCCGGGGTTACACAAGTGTTTAGGACGGCATAAACCCGGGGTTACACAAGTGTTTAGGACGGCATAAACCCGGGGTTACACAAGTGTTTAGGACGGTTTACACAAGTGTTTAGGACGGCATAAACCCGGGGTTACACAAGTGTTTAGGACGGCATAAACCCGGGGTTACACAAGTGTTTAGGACGGCATAAACCCGGGGTTACACAAGTGTTTAGGACGGCATAAACCCGGGGTTACACAAGTGTTTAGGACGGCATAAACCTGGGGTTACACAAGTGTTTAGGACGGCATAAACCTGGGGTTACACAAGTGTTTAGGACGGCATAAACCTGGGGTTACACAAGTGTTTAGGACAGCATAAACCTAGTGTTACACAAGTGTTTAGGACAGCATAAACCTGGGGTTACACAAGTGTTTAGGACAGCATAAACCTGGGGTTACACAAGTGTTTAGGACAGCATAAACCTGGGGTTACACAAGTGTTTAGGACAGCATCCCAGGTTACACAAGTGTTTAGGACAGCATAAGCCTGGGGTAACACAAGTTTTTAAAATTCTTGCACCAAAAATGTTGTCAAGCTTGAAATTTTTTGCCAAATGAAAATTTTCGAGCCAAATATGAATTTATCAGAAAGCCATGTTTAGATAATAGTGTTAATTGTTGTAATGTGATTAAATATTTATAACTGTAAAGAAACAACAGTTTCAGTACTCTTGTGTCAATAAGGTATTAAACAGGTTAGGGACATGTAGCATAAGAAAAATATATACCTGTAGGTAGTATTGTCATGTACATATAATTCATATTTGGTGAAAAAAATCCTGAATTAAAAATTTTGTAACAAAACACATTGAGTCCTGACCTCAGAATGTATTTGAATGAGAATAAGAACAGCAGTATGGAAAGGAACAGTTCATCGCAATAATGTAGCTGTATCTTTCTAAAATAACATTGTCTATACAGCACATCACAGACATCCAGAATCCGCTGAAGATAAGTCTGGAACAGTCGAGTCATCAGATCACAGGCATGTTACTGGGGCACATCAACAAAGACAGAGAAGGTATCAACCTTGTTACATATTGTTTTCTGTCTGCACGTTTTAATTTTAGTTACATTCTAATCAGTACACGCTTTGTAGTGTGGTACCGTTTATCCTGTTCTCATGGTTACACTATAAGTACTTTTTCTTCCTCAACCAATGTGTTACATAGCTGTGTATTTTACAGAAATGTTAATGTCGTGGGCGGGGCAGGGCCTCAGTGAGCTCCACCCAGACTTGTTTGTAATAGCTATATATTTTACAGGAATGTTAATGTTGTGGGCGGGGCAGGGTATCAGTGAGCTCCACCCAGACTTGTTTGTAATAGCTATATATTTTACAGGAATGTTAATGTCGTGGGCGGGGCAGGGCCTCAGTGAGCTCCACCCAGACTGGTTTGTAATGGCTTTGTCTTCTCCAGCACGTAACAGCTTCACAGTTGGGTTTTGTCTATCAGAAAATTACGATATTAACAGAAATCGCACCACAGAATGAAAACTAGAGTGGTTACAATATTGTAGAAATTTATCTCCTAACACTACTGTAATCTTAATCTAGGCTAAATGTAACACAGCTGGGGGTTCAGCCTGGTGTCACATCCTTTGTAACAATTTGTTACTACCAATCCTAGCTTTCTGATTGATGGAAGTATTTTTTATTTGATTATTTGATTTTTAGACCTTGACCTTTCGGGTGGCATTACCATGTCACTAGACATCTTGTCTTGTGACAACTTTTTTTCGCTTTAAATGACCTCACAATATCCGAGCTAATAGCATGCTGTGAGGTGGGGCTTCAAATGAACAACATTGACCTAATTCCAAAACCAGAGATGTCAAATGTGATAAAACACTTCTTCTCCAGAACCAGAAGCCCAGGAACATGATATGTTGCCAGTGACATGCTGTGATGAAAACTATATTCAGCAATATGACATTGACCTCTTTGGAGGTCCATAGCCAGTAGACTAACAGGTTCATGGTACATGTATTAGTGTAGTCGTATGCTTCGAAAATGGACTTTCTAGTTTGCAGAAATTCAACAAAACACATTAATCTTTTCAAGCTGTACAACAATTTCATATGGGCTTTGTTCATGATTTTATCTCGGGAGCTGCAGAACATGTAAGTGATTCAAGCTCATCAGGGCTTTTCTTTGCTATTTGATTCATTCCTCAAAGATCAGCTCTTCATATTTATTGTATCCCTGCTTTGTTACAGACAATGGAAAGCTCATTTTGACAAAGATCAAGAAGAGCCAGCAAAAACATAAGTTCCGTTCAGCTGATAATGACACAAGACTTGACGACAACAACAAATACTTCCGATACAAGAGAGACAGAAGACGTCACCATAGTGACGGTTTCGTTAAAAGTATGTACATATCAAATGTATCACTTTTGTTCAATTTTACTCTTGATATGTAAATCTAAAAATTATTCTATGTCTGATGATAAGCCCTCTGTTGTCCCCCCCCCCATCATGTCTGGTAATAAGTCCCCCATCATGTCTGGTAATAAGTCCCCCCATCATGTCTGGTAATAAGTCCCCCCATCATGTCTGGTAATAAGTCCCCCCATCATGTCTGGTAATAAGTCCCCCATCATGTCTGGTAATAAGTCCCCCATCATGTCTGGTAATAAGTCCCCCCATCATGTCTTGTAATAAGTCCCCCATCATGTTTTGTAATAAGTGCCCCCATCATGTCTTGTAATAAGTGCCCCCATCATGTCTTGTAATAAGTCCCCCATCATGTTTTGTAATAAGTGCCCCCATCATGTTTTGTAATAAGTGCCCCCATCATGTTTTGTAATAAGTGCCCCCATCATGTTTTGTAATAAGTCCCCCCATCATGTCTTGTAATAAGTGCCCCCATCATGTTTTGTAATAAGTCCCCCCATCATGTCTTGTAATAAGTGCCCCCATCATGTCTTGTAATAAGTGCCCCCATCATGTTTTGTAATAAGTGCCCCCATCATGTCTTGTAATAAGTGCCCCCATCATGTTTTGTAATAAGTCCCCCATCATGTTTTGTAATAAGTCCCCCATCATGTCTTGTAATAAGCCCTCCCATCATATCTGTTATTATATTCCCCCCATCATGTCTGGTACCACGTAAACCTGTCTATAAAGATTAATTGTCTAAAGACCACCTCTACACAAATTTCACCTTTCTAGAAAGGCTATTTTTCTCTGTTCCCTTTAGTGGCCTTTAAAAACAGGTTAGATACTTATTTAACAGAAATATGCTCCTCTGATTTACCTTTAAGCTCTAGTTGGATAATGATGGGAACCTGCTTGATGGTTTCAGATATTGTTATAACTGTTGGTGGAGTATAAACTGCTGTTGTTGAAACAGATATGTACAGAAAAAATTTGTAATTTGATTCATACAGTTGCTAAAGCAATGTTGTGTTTCAATGGTCCTTACTCATAGTGGGTTGTACTCCTCAAGAACCTGCTATCAACCTGTGCTTTCATAATTGTGTTCTTGGTAAGGACAATTGACCCCAGTTGCATTGAATAGTATGTGCCAGACCTCTTGCATGTTGTTCAGTGAGGTAGTAACCACGTACATGTACTACTAAGAAGCCATCTCAAGTAAAATGATGCAGGCTGATCACAAACAGTCGCGTCTGATTAGAATTTTGTGGTAATCTGTGATGATTGACATGTCAAAGGTCACACTTGAAACAAAGTTATGTTGACCTCGACTGATGTGATTTCCTGATCTGATGAGTGGGGTATAACAAGGTGACACCATGAATTTACACCCTTTACTTCTTTTTTCAGAGAAACATTTCCCACAAAGTGATTCTGTGTATCGTCAGACATCTTATGAAGGGAGGAAGTCAGTGCTAAGGAATCATAAGGAGGGAGCTGTACCTATACCGTTTCCTATCTCTGCTCATAAACTTTCCCCCGTGTCAAGCCTCGATGGTTCTAAAACCGAAAGTTTGGGGTTCCCCACCAGCAGTCGAGGGTTTCGATCCCAAAGTTCAGGGGTCTTTGCCAAAAGTCCAGGGTCCCCATCCAAAAGTTCAGGATTCCCCACCAGCAGTCGAGGGTCCCCATCCCAAAATTCTGGATTTCCTGTCAAAAGTCCGGGGTCCTCATCCCAAAGTTCAGGGTTCCCCATCAGCAGTCGAGGGTTCCGGTCCCAAAGTTCAGGGATCCTTGCCAGAAGTCCAGGGTCCCCGTCCGAAAGTTCAGGGTTTCTCACCAACAGGCGAGGGTCCCCGTCCCAAATATCAGGATTCCCTGTCAACAGTCCCAGGTCCCCGGCCTTTAGCCCTGTGTCCCCCACTTTCATTTCTGGTCATTCGTTCTCACAGAGACAGCGACCAAATACACTGCCAGGCCTGCTTCACACCAAACAGGACAATCGTAAGTTTAGCTGATTAATACTATTGATATGAGAACCTCAGAAAATCTGTTAAATTTTCGTTCCTACAAAATACATACTTTTGTGGTTCTGATATAAATGATTTTCATAGTTGTACTTCCACTGAGAAACATAAGTCCTGTGAAAATTTAACATGATTTCTGTATCAATGGATTTTACACTACGTCTTCATACTGATTCTGTGAGTCATGCAGGTGTGATAAGGACATTTAAATTTATCAGTTTAATTCAAATAAAAAAAACCACCTTAGAAACATGATCTTCACTAACGTGTGGAGTTAGTAATTAGCATGATAATGAGAAACCATTTACATGCCCAGTAGCCTGTTTTGTAATATTTCATATTTCTACGCATTGATAATGTAAAAAATAGCTCCGCAAACGTGGGCAATACCCCACAGCCTTATTATAAAGTTGGGTGCAGAGCTAAGATTGTGAAGAACATCAATAGGCTGTGTAGGTCCATAGGCCGAACATGCCCAGCGAAAATGGTGATCGCTGGTGATGTCGTTCTTGAGATAATGAGTGGAATGCAAATTCAAGATGGCGGCCGTAACCGCCATATTGGATATCATGCGGTGACGAAAAACAATAGAATTGTGTAGGTCCATAGGCCCAAGATCCCCAGTGAAAATGGTGATGACTGGTTTTTGAGATAATAAGTGTTATGTAATTGTGGATGGACAGACAGACAGACAGACAGATGGACAGACGGACGCAATGTGTGATCGCTATACCCCACACCCTTTTGGGCTGTGGGGTAAAAACTGATCTCGCAGATTTTTCCAATCTAAACTGCAGAACTGGAACGACTGTCTTAGACTGAACAGTGTTAGGTGTAACAGTGATGACTATATGAGAACTGGGACGACTGTCTTAGACTGAACAGTGTTAGGTGTAACAGTGATGACTATATCAGACCTGGGACGACTGTCTTAGACTGAACAGTGTTAGGTGTAACAGTGATGACTATATGGGAACTCGGACGACTGTCTTAGACTGAACAGTGTTAGGTGTAACAGTGATGACTATATGAGACCTGGGACGACTGTCTTAGACTGAACAGTGTTAGGTGTAACAGTGATGACTATATGAGACCTGAGACGACTGTCTTAGACTGAACAGTGTTAGGTGTAACAGTGATGACTATATGAGACCTGGGACGACTCAGTGTTAGATGGGACGACTGTCTTAGACTGAACAGTGTTAGGTGTAACAGTGATGACTATATGAGACCTGAGACGACTGTCTTAGACTGAACAGTGTTAGGTGTAACAGTGATGACTATATGAGACCTGGGACGACTGTCTTAGACTGAACAGTGTTAGGTGTAACAGTGATGACTATATATGAACAGTGTTAGGTGTAACAGTGATGACTGAGAACTGACGACTGTCTTAGACTGAACAGTGTTAGGTGTAACAGTGATGACTATATCAGACCTGGGACGACTGTCTTAGACTGAACAGTGTTAGGTGTAACAGTGATGACTATATGAGAACTGGGACGACTGTCTTAGACTGAACAGTGTTAGGTGTAACAGTGATGACTATATGAGACCTGGGACTGGGACGACTGTCTTAGACTGAACAGTGTTAGGTGTAACAGTGATGACTATATGAGACCTGGGACGACTGTCTTAGACTGAACAGTGTTAGGTGTAACAGTGATGACTATATGAGAACTGGGACGACTGTCTTAGACTGAACAGTGTTAGGTGTAACAGTGATGACTATATGAGACCTGAGACGACTGTCTTAGACTGAACAGTGTTAGGTGTAACAGTGATGACTATATGAGAACTGGGACGACTGTCTTAGACTGAACAGTGTTAGGTGTAACAGTGATGACTATATGAGAACTGGGACGACTGTCTTAGACTGAACAGTGTTAGGTGTAACAGTGATGACTATATGAGACCTGGGACGACTGTCTTAGACTGAACAGTGTTAGGTGTAACAGTGATGACTATATGAGACCTGGGACGACTGTCTTAGACTGAACAGTGTTAGGTGTAACAGTGATGACTATATGAGACCTGGGACGACTGTCTTAGACTGAACAGTGTTAGGTGTAACAGTGATGACTATATGAGACCTGGGACGACTGTCTTAGACTGAACAGTGTTAGGTGTAACAGTGATGACTATATGAGACCTGGGACGACTGTCTTAGACTGAACAGTGTTAGGTGTAACAGTGATGACTATATGAGACCTGGGACGACTGTCTTAGACTGAACAGTGTTAGGTGTAACAGTGATGACTATATGAGACCTGGGACGACTGTCTTAGACTGAACAGTGTTAGGTGTAACAGTGATGACTATATGAGACCTGGGACGACTGTCTTAGACTGAACAGTGTTAGGTGTAACAGTGATGACTATATGAGACCTGGGACGACTGTCTTAGACTGAACAGTGTTAGGTGTAACAGTGATGACTATATGAGACCTGGGACGACTGTCTTAGACTGAACAGTGTTAGGTGTAACAGTGATGACTATATGAGACCTGGGACGACTGTCTTAGACTGAACAGTGTTAGGTGTAACAGTGATGACTATATGAGACCTGGGACGACTGTCTTAGACTGAACAGTGTTAGGTGTAACAGTGATGACTATATGAGACCTGGGACGACTGTCTTAGACTGAACAGTGTTAGGTGTAACAGTGATGACTATATGAGACCTGGGACGACTGTCTTAGACTGAACAGTGTTAGGTGTAACAGTGATGACTATATGAGACCTGGGACGACTGTCTTAGACTGAACAGTGTTAGGTGTAACAGTGATGACTATATGAGACCTGGGACGACTGTCTTAGACTGAACAGTGTTAGGTGTAACAGTGATGACTATATGACTGGGACGACTGTCTTAGACTGAACAGTGTTAGGTGTAACAGTGATGACTATATGAGACCTGGGACGACTGTCTTAGACTGAACAGTGTTAGGTGTAACAGTGATGACTATATGAGACCTGGGACGACTGTCTTAGACTGAACAGTGTTAGGTGTAACAGTGATGACTATATGAGACCTGGGACGACTGTCTTAGACTGAACAGTGTTAGGTGTAACAGTGATGACTATATGAGACCTGGGACGACTGTCTTAGACTGAACAGTGTTAGGTGTAACAGTGATGACTATATGAGACCTGGGACGACTGTCTTAGACTGAACAGTGTTAGGTGTAACAGTGATGACTATATGAGACCTGGGACGACTGTCTTAGACTGAACAGTGTTAGGTGTAACAGTGATGACTATATGAGACCTGGGACGACTGTCTTAGACTGAACAGTGTTAGGTGTAACAGTGATGACTATATCAGACCTGGACGACTGTCCTTAGACTGAACAGTGTTAGGTGTAACAGTGATGACTATATGAGAACTGGGACGACTGTCTTAGACTGAACAGTGTTAGGTGTAACAGTGATGACTATATGAGACCTGGGACGACTGTCTTAGACTGAACAGTGTTAGGTGTAACAGTGATGACTATATGAGACCTGGGACGACTGTCTTAGACTGAACAGTGTTAGGTGTAACAGTGATGACTATATGAGACCTGGGACGACTGTCTTAGACTGAACAGTGTTAGGTGTAACAGTGATGACTATATGAGACCTGGGACGACTGTCTTAGACTGAACAGTGTTAGGTGTAACAGTGATGACTATATGAGACCTGGGACGACTGTCTTAGACTGAACAGTGTTAGGTGTAACAGTGATGACTATATGAGACCTGGGACGACTGTCTTAGACTGAACAGTGTTAGGTGTAACAGTGATGACTATATGAGACCTGGGACGACTGTCTTAGACTGAACAGTGTTAGGTGTAACAGTGATGACTATATGAGAACTGGGACGACTGTCTTAGACTGAACAGTGTTAGGTGTAACAGTGATGACTATATGAGACCTGGGACGACTGTCTTAGACTGAACAGTGTTAGGTGTAACAGTGATGACTATATGAGACCTGGGACGACTGTCTTAGACTGAACAGTGTTAGGTGTAACAGTGATGACTATATGAGACCTGGGATATGAACAGTGTTAGGTGTAACAGTGATGACTATATCAGACCTGGACGACTGTCCTTAGACTGAACAGTGTTAGGTGTAACAGTGATGACTATATCAGACCTAGACGACTGTCTTAGACTGAACAGTGTTAGGTGTAACAGTGATGACTATATGAGAACTGGGACGACTGTCTTAGACTGAACAGTGTTAGGTGTAACAGTGATGATTATATCAGACCTGGGACGACTGTCTTAGACTGAACAGTGTTAGGTGTAACAGTGATGACTATATGAGACCTGGGACGACTGTCTTAGACTGAACAGTGTTAGGTGTAACAGTGATGACTATATGAGACCTGGGACGACTGTCTTAGACTGAACAGTGTTAGGTGTAACAGTGATGACTATATGAGACCTGGGACGACTGTCTTAGACTGAACAGTGTTAGGTGTAACAGTGATGACTATATGAGACCTGGGACGACTGTCTTAGACTGAACAGTGTTAGGTGTAACAGTGATGACTATATGAGACCTGGGACGACTGTCTTAGACTGAACAGTGTTAGGTGTAACAGTGATGACTATATGAGAACTGGGACGACTGTCTTAGACTGAACAGTGTTAGGTGTAACAGTGATGACTATATGAGACCTGGGACGACTGTCTTAGACTGAACAGTGTTAGGTGTAACAGTGATGACTATATGAGAACTGGGACGACTGTCTTAGACTGAACAGTGTTAGGTGTAACAGTGATGACTATATGAGACCTGGGACGACTGTCTTAGACTGAACAGTGTTAGGTGTAACAGTGATGACTATATGAGAACTGGGACGACTGTCTTAGACTGAACAGTGTTAGGTGTAACAGTGATGACTATATGAGAACTGGGACGACTGTCTTAGACTGAACAGTGTTAGGTGTAACAGTGATGACTATATGAGAACTGGGACGA